GAAATGTTCGTTTCCGTCGTGTCCTTTTGAAGCTAGGTTCGAAGTTAGGCCTAGATGTGCTGTAACGACCCAGCCATCTTAGACAGTAAGGACTGAACTTGAAACCCAAAACAAATATTAACATATCATATTTAATTGCATATCAGTTGGCGTTTCGTATATAATGTAAGCTTCAGTATAATTGAATACCAATCCTAGACCTATCATGAAATTTTCATGTACACAGCAAACCAGGTTTGTATCAATTCGAATTTAAACATTGAGAACTTTCGCCGGAACGTATTGATGTGGTACCTCCCTCAATTACGACGCCAGCAATAGCCATAACGATAAAGAGAATTGTAAACTTCTCTCCGTCATCGCGGGGCAATAAAGACCTAACTCATGATATAGAGCAACCGCGAAAAAATAGCTTGATAATTATATCTTTAGTGCCTAATGGTCTAACAGCTTCTGATTTATCCACCAGGTGTCAGCTTGAAATATCGGTCTTGCAACACGAAAATTCAACAGATGCGAAACAAATACAATGTACTTAACTGGGTACCGAATTGTCGACGAACCATTTATTTATTTGTAATTCTAATTTCTATCTTCATAGTTTGAAAACTGTGTTCGGTCAAAGTAATCGAAAGCCATGGCGCCCGTACCTTCCCACTTGCAACTGGGCTGAATCTGGCAGTCCATCTCGCTTTTCAAGATCAACAGCCAGTGTTAATTTCGATTACTCCAATCCGACTTACTTACGCAGTGAAGCCGCGACGCCGTACAGTCGACCCATGTCAGTGGGTTCGTAACGGAGTGGTCATTGAAAACGGAAAAACGCGCCGATGCGAAATCAATGCTAGCTAGAGAAAACGGGCAACTACCCCTCGTCTGTGTATAGGGTGCGGCAAAAATTCCGCCCCTTGATGCGGCCACCATCTATCTATGCGGGTTTCCGCTTGAGCTCACCTGTCACTTCTGCACAACACATAGGCAGGAATAGGCTTTTGTGCTCGTCACAGTACGCGCTACCCCTTCCAGAACCTGATCAACACCGAATTTCAGATTGCTTGCGCTTAAACTGTGGTGATTCCTATAAAGCACGGGGAGAATATACAAATTAACAAAAACAGAATAGGTGTGATGGGGAATCTATATATATATATATATATACAATGGATTACGGCAAATCTGACAGACTTCAGATTTTTGATCTGTTATTGTGTTTTATCCAAAAAAATAGTAAAGGAATTTCTCTCCCGTGGATATTTTTACACTTTTTACGTATCTAATGCTTAGTTATAGCCTGCCGATGTAGTCGATATCTACCTATCATATTATTGCTATCTATCTGTCAAGTGAATTATTATTGTCAATTCATTCACAATGGGTCCGTTTTAAATTCACTTACATTAGTCCACAGCAACACAATATAGTTACGTACGGTAATCGCGTATCGGGTCAATCTGTTTTCAACGATATCATCGAAGACTTCTACGCAACCTCGTCTTTAATTAGTACATAGTGGAAATCTCGTTTTTATATACTCCGTTAGTTTTAACAATCAACGCACGCTATAAGGGGGATCATCATTTGGGGGATGCATTACCCTTCAATGATATCAGCCAATCTCAGGAAATCCATTGATTCGGAATCTTGGATCGTGCCTGTGTTACCTGACATTTAGTCGCCTTGGAAAATGTTTCTCTGCGCAGTCATCTCTAACTCGGTTAATTTATATACAGTTAATTGTTTTGTAAGTTACATACAATAGACTATGCAGTGTGCGCAAGCCGCTGAATGGAACTCGACAAGAACTCCTGCCTCAATATTGTTGTCTATGCTTATTACCACTAGCAAGGATTTCTTGATTTGTGATACGTAAAATAACTCTGGGATCTATTTGGAGCCCACAAGCAATTTTCGTCAGTGGATGCATCGGGTTAAAGGCCCCTAACGCTCCATATTGTCTTAGCCTTTTTGGTCAGACCTAAGAGTAGAGCACTGGCCGACCTCAACCTCTTGGCGTCACAAGGTATCAGTGCTCTTGTATTGCAGTTGTCGTTAAAGTGCCAAAAAGTCGAGCAGTGACAGCCTCGATAACTTTTAAGGTAGTCAGAAACAGTTCGTTTGGCGCTTACGTGGTCGACTTTTGAGCTAACCATGGCAAAACCATCAACAGTATTCTGGCTGTGCACTAAACTCGTGCTAATCTTTCTAGTTATCGATAGCAGCTTTCTCTGTTTATCCATAGGGCAAGCTTTCATAGATAGATGAAAATAAGCACACATTGTTTCTAGCGGAGCGCTGACTTTGGAACAGAAAATGTCATACGTCCGTGCCTCTGTCTGGGGGCAATTTGGAATTCTAACTCTTGCACCAATAATTTCATATAGGGCCTATGTGAAGCCCAGATCCCAATGTGTGGACCTTCAGCGCAGGACTGCTCATCTTTTCCTTATCCGAGACCTGCAAAACCCATGAAAGCAATGCTCATTTACTAAAAAACTATATCGCACAGTCCGATACGGTCCAGCCTGCGGGAAAATGTTCATTGCTTAGTAATAAATGTGTATCGGGCATGGAACAACTAAGTCACATCATTCTTAGCAGGTGGCCCTGTGTATGTAGTTGCAGCCAATATTACAGCCGTTAGAAAAGTACATTCGCACTTTCGAAAAGTACAAAAGGCTAACCTCATGGATTTGACAAGTTTTTATAACAAAATCGACTGCATTTATAGAAACCGCATTCCATCATCTTATGTTTTTATGTTTATATATATATATATATATATGTGTTGAACAGGGAAGAGATGAGAACTCACAGCGTAAATTTTGACTCTATATAAATGGGTCTTCATCTTGGTTAATAGAATATTTTCATCATTGATATATATATAGCTTTCGTGCCATAATTACCACATTTCATATCATAGAACTATTCATTTTAAGCATCATGATGGTTCGCTTCATCATCGTCACGTATTCTGTAAAACACTGTAATTTAAGTATATATATTTACTAACCATCAAGCGATAGGAAGACCATGCCGATTACAAATGGCTTACCAGTCGCATATCTTTTGAGAGCAGCATCTGCCAATCGGCACCGATGAACAGGTTAAGGGTTTTCAGCATGAACGAACTTTTAAGGATTGTTTGGGGAAAATCCTTGGCTGCTTCAATCTTCAAGGATCAAACTCACTGGTAAGATGTACCTAAAACATTTATGCTTACCTTCCTCCACGCGCCTGTCTGAAAAATATTCGCAAGGGCAGATTTCTTAACTGATCCTAAATAGTCTTAGTTTTTCCGATAATCCTTAATTACGCATAGGAACGTTTGTATCCCGCAGACTTCCTTATGAGCTCGTTACGGTTGACGATCACAATCACAGTTGAGCTGTGTAATTTCATTCTGTACTTTGATATATCATAAAAGTGAGCACAATATAGAAATCTTGCTCGATCCGTTTTCGTTACTTTTTTACGTCATCAGTCCCTTTGACCAGTGTCCTCTATCGCCGACCAACGAGTCCAACCAACATCCTGCTCGGGTAGGTAATCCACAAAGATAAATCTACGGTACTTATCTAGCTCTGCATTTTAGACGTGTGAGTATCACTTGTACCTTTTGCTCCGTTATCTTATGAGAATCCCTGGATGTTCCTATAGTCTTGTGCATCACACCACTGTAGCCTTCTCTGTATTGTGGACTCTGCTGGTGCCGTTCGGTGCATGTGCAAAACTTGGGGGTCGCAGGTGTTGAAACGGCTTTACCACAGCGAAACTCGATTACCCACAGACAGGCTCAGCTGGGGCTCGTTTAGGGGCGTGGTTTGTGACTCCGGGGACCGCCCTACGTCAGCCGTTCAGTCCGCTGGAGGCGGGTGAGGGGGCGCTGTTGTTCCTGAATTGGGGCGGTCTTGTTCGAATGAACAGAGTTCGATGGGGGGCTTAGAGCAGGCAGAGGTGTTATTAAGGATTACTCCATGAAGGCCACCAACCAATAGGTTGCGCAGACGAGAAAAGCTGGTTCAGGCAACGACACTAAATTACGATCCCGCTTATTGTCAAGCATATTGTTTATATTCGTAGATGTGTAATGTAGACAATAGTCAGTGTATGTCATACAAAAGTTTTAATTCACAATATATAGAAAAAACATCGTTTCGATTTTGAAACAAATGTGGGATTTGCATTTGTAATGTTAGTGGCTCGATGCAAATTAAGCTCTAATATAGGAAGACTATTTAAGGAATCAATTTTTGGCCTTTCATATTTTCCATTTTTTGTTAAATAAATCTACTTCAGGTCGTTTCTCATTCAAAAGAATGAAAGTTGCCTTCAGTGTCTTTCTGAATTCTGTCAGCCAGCAAGAAGCAGACATTGCGCTTTTAGCTCTCAAGTAGGGTCTATATATATAAATTATATAAGTATATACATATATATAAATTGAATATTAGAAAGATGAATATCGGAGCTATCTACGTCGCATTGTTATCTCACCTACCGAAACGTACGCATCGGGATGATTGTACGTTTTAAGAAATCTGTAATAATCAAAACTATGGTCGTCCAATGAGTTTGCAACAAATGTTTCAAAGCTGCAGGGCATTCTAGAGTACGAAATAGTGCCATATTGCAACGATTTTACGGTGAAACGGTTCTATAGAATCAACGTATTTAGAAATATTTAACGTTATTTATACTATTATATTGAGTTGCGCCCCCCATTTCTGTAAACGTACATCCATTGTGAATGTATCAAATGAAAAGCCATCTTGTTTCAGAAGTATCAGGTAATAGCTTCTATGTAATGGGGCATCGGTAAATCGAATAGGGTAATATTTTGCAAAAAAATAGAAAGACTTGAATAGTTACCAATTATAATTACTCGAAAATATAAACCTAGAACATTTGCCTATTATGATCGTGTGTGTACAATGGTTAATGCTATTATAAACTGAACAATCGTTTTCTCACACTAAGAAAAACCTTGGTAACACTTGTTACCAAGGTAAATATCATTAACTGAATCTATATGTGTATATATATATATATAACCAAACGCTAGGTAATCTTCAAGCTTGACAAAATAAGAAAAAAGTTTATTCAGCCCGACAAGTGCTCCTCAAAGGTATCTGACAGATAGGTTCTCGTTGTCACGTTTGCCACCCGAAGGTTCTAGCCAACTCCGCTTTGAACGAACAAGTGTTCAAAGAGGTTTTCCCATAGGTCGGAAAATAGCTTGATAGTAATGACTGCTACCTACGCCCAGTCTGGAACACGGCAACATCTGCGAAAGGTGCATTAATCTTCGCAGGAAAACACTTTCTTTGGTGTGCACGCTTCTGTCCTACCTCTAGTAGGGTCCAACGGTATTCAATTTACCTTGCCACCGCTTGATATTTACCTTATCTATGGCCCTAATTTTCCGTTTGAATGATATTTTATCGAGAAGATCGCGTGGCGAAGCGTACGGAAAACGAACGGGCGGTTCCATAAGGTCCACGATGAGCGACGCTGGGGTGTCGGTGTGTTAGCTTATAGTAGGCCACGGTTTTAGTCTTGACCTTGTCAGAATGTCTACTAATACGTATCACATTATATACGGGAAACAAATGGGTCAATATGCATTCGTCTGTACTTGTTTTTAAAGTTGAGCTTCCGGCACTTTATGACACATTTGTCATATGATGTACTTTGTCCGATACGCATAGGGAACACTGATAGTCACCTCATACAAGGCTTAACGAATTCTTGTTTGTATAAAAAAATAAATGTTCTTGAACCTCCTATAATGTACTTTATCTTGATGTACAGTGGGTCAATTTAGGTGTGCTTACCTATTTTCGGTAGGTCGTCAACTTTTGCTATGATGACAAAAGATGAGAACAATATGTTTAATATTAAATGAACCGAAACATTGATACGAGTAAAACAATCTTAACCGATCATAATCTATAAGAATACCTTTTCGTTTCAATGTCCCTCTCGGTAATACTCCCTATTTCTGGTAGTAATAGAAGGTATATAGAATATAATAGATAACAGGGGCCGAACTGCCGCGGCTAGGAATCCTCGCTACTTCTTAATGTGCAGTCGAATATGAATTTGCGTAAAAAAATTGTTGTTTTCATATGTGTTTTGCCCCACGCTAACGCCGCTCTACGTACGATCTGCAATAAAGTTCTTCATATTGAGATTATTAGCATTAGCTTTATTATTATTGCAAATCATTGAGTGTAGGGAATGTAAACTTAACAATGGAAATATCTTCCGTGATTAACTTAACCAGCTCAAGTAGGTTAGAATCGAATGAACTTGTTAGTTTCACACGCTCCAAAATTAGGGGGGCGGAAATTGCCGTCACATAAAATGTGCTAGTGAAGCGCTGCGGCAGCCACAGACCCGTTTATGATGCAGTCAACCACTGGGCAAAATCGGGCCAAACGACGGCCGGCGGGTTCGAGCCGCTGGGTGTTCAGACTCACACGCCGGGAGAACGTCATAGTTTTGGCAGGCTCAACCTCTCTCGACGGGCGCTTTAGCTGATGACCCTCTAGAAACAATGCACCGGTCAAATGCTTTGTTTCAATGAATTAACAGCACTCTCCTCGAAGGTCTCAACAACTACAAGCAGCAACAGTGCTATGTGACGTCGGCAACAATAGCGACGTCAGCTAAAAAAGAACGAACCGGCTTAGGGGGAATATACCGTAAGCTCGTAGATGTTAGTAAATTTGTATGTAATAATAATGAAAATTCTAGTTATGTTTACACAGCGACGTTCAGCAATAACGTGGCACTAATTTAGTGAAAGATCGTCGCGTGGGAAGCACACGCGGTCAAGTATGCGTGTTACGCATACCTGACCGCGTGAAGAGGCACCCTACCAGGTTCTGTTGATAGCGCAATGATTTTCGCTTGGTAATTGCTTCACCTTGCGTGCTAGCATTAGCGAAACGGTATTTTGCACAGTGTGCTATTATCTCACTCTAGAGTAGACTGATGGTTTCTGTCTTTTACTACACATGTGGCTATTTGTTGAGCGTTAATGTTTGTGCCCTCTCTCCGCGATATCAGCTAGCCACCAAACAGGACATCACTTTCGACCTGAGACAGGGTCCTGCTTCAAACTGTGTTGCGCCGAGTGTCGAACTACGACTTGGTGTTCCATTTTGTGATTCGCTACGTCGGAGACGTCTATTGGCGTTTCTATTGACGATTCTTTCGACGACGATGTGTTCGTCAACTAGGGATATACGACACTAATAGTATTCAGTGTGTTACCGCAGATCTTGGATTTTCCATAGGCCCGTGTATTGCCGATTGCGGTCAGATTGAGGGATATGTCGGCTGAACTGGTGTGCATGTGTGCTCATACGTAGTTGTTTATTACATATCATAATTTGAGGGGGGGGGGAGTGAAAAAAAACCCACGTCAGGTTGCAAATATATTATTAGGAAAACAATGAGTTCCCGAAGCAATCGTTACCATTCGCCAGCGCGGTCGAATTATGGCAGTAATTCGACGTACCTGACCCCACTGTCATTGTGCGGACTGTCCCCTTCGTCGTACGGCGTCTCAACGGGATATTCTTCACGATCACGTCTATACAGTCCTTCATCCTTCTACACGCCGAGTTTATTGTCAAGTTCGAGCTACTCAGCTTCATACAAAAGTCCCTACAGAGATGTAATATGGTCGTCGTATTATACGAGTTCTCCCCGAACCAACTGGTACGAAGCGTATAAACCGACAATTCGACAACGACCAAGTTGTTTGTCATCAAGACGATCAAGCGCCATTGATACATCACCACGTCAGTCAACGAAAACCGATCAAAACGTAACTACGCATGGCACAATCAATCGACAAAGGAAGACGGTAAAGTTTGTAGAGCCTAAACGAAAGGATTCTGTACCGCTGGATCTTGAGAAGATTCGGAGGCTTAGCGATGCTTTCTTCGACGATCGAAACAATGTCGAGACTGCCTGTGCACACTCCCCCGAAAGACTGCCTGTGACGAACGTGGATAACGAGAAAGAAACCAAAAAGGGCGCTAGCATAGGTGTCCCGGTATGCGATACCGAGGCAAATAGACCCAATGAAGAACGCCAGGAACGGCAGCCTCGAGCGAGGAGAAGGTCCCGAGATACGTCAGGCCAAGACAAAAAAGCAAAGAGGGTGTCAATGGAGATCTCAGACATTATCAGCGAAGAGGAAGTTCAAAAGCTAAAAGCAAAAGATAGTATCACATCAGTAGAACCGCTACCGCCGCCGCCTACGTTTATTTCAGTGCAGCTGGCAGATAACAATTGTCAAATCGTCATGGATTTTACCAAAGATCTTGTTCATGTCGAACAAGGAAAACCATTTTCAACGACAGAGGTTGTCGTTGACATACCCAGACGTACCAGCCCACCTGCTCGCACAGAATCCGAAGTAGTCGTGCAAAAAGTAGGTGCTGTCGAGGTACCGAAACAGGAGAAGGTATTTCCAGCGGAAGTGCAGCTAGAAAAGGACATAAAACAACACGAACGACCTGAGTTTTTGGCAGATAATGGTTCTCTATGCGATACAGCGCACACAAAAAATAAACAAGAAATATCACCGTCGCTAGATGGGATTTGTGTACTGGAGCCTCTTAGTTGTTGTACAGTAGATGCATCGATATCTAATGTTTCGGCATGTCCAACATATGGTCAAGTAACTGGGTCAGTTTCAGATGGTCCGAGCAGTTCACATCAAATTGAAGCCTCGAAGGCATCTGATGTTCTAAAGTTTGCAGGGTCGAATGTTAGTGAGCAACAGAAAAGTAAGTGTCAAGCAGCCGGCAAGGGTACTCCAGTTCAATTATTAGCTGAGAGCGATGATGCTAAGAAAAAGTTCAACCAAACAAAAGCTGTTGCTGATGGTGGTTCAGGCATTAAGATCGAACAGAAGAAGGATTCTAAGGTAGATGCAGCAAAACCATGCGCAGAACCGGCAAAGGAACATTCGCCCGACCCTCTAGTGCAGAGTGATATAAATTTGCAACAAAGTGCTAAGGCTGGTTCGAAGGAAAGACTTAACAACCACAAAATTGCCGATGAACAACAGCCTAAAAAAGATAAGGTTCCAACCGTTCCCTTACGTTTTGGTCAAACGAAAATCGACAGCGTAAATGAAGCTCTCACATTAAATGAGGAGCTAACCCTGCAGCAGGAGGAAGTCGCACATTCTCAGCAAGCTAATAAGTCTAAAGCGACCACAACGCATCAATCGGTCTTGAAAGTAATTGAAGCTACAGATGCTGTACCGTCACAAAAAGTTAAGGCCGAGAAGTCGGACAAATTCGAGCTGACTAAAACTGTTTATCTCGTAATGAAGGAAAACGCAAAACCACAAGGGACGATCGCCATAGATACATCTGGGAGAACTGAGAAGGTTAGCAAAATTCTAAAGCAAGCGCCAAAATTCAAAAACAACAACGAAACACAAGGTATCCCGGCGGAGGTTGCAGATGATACGAATGAAGAAAAAGATTCTGGAGCAAAACGTGTCGATCAGAGGACGAATATTATACAAACTAGTCTCGGTAAACCAGAGGTAGCTGCCGAGCAGACGACAGCCTTTCCACAAATAGAACCCAATACGAGCCATGGAAACGATCATATAGGCCAAAGCAATATTGTTTTAGCAGATCCACCTGAAACAACAAACAAGATCCTAATAAAGCAGATCGGAATCGATAAAAGCTTGCAGAAAACCAAAAAGACCAAGACTCCCAAAGGCATCGAATCAACGACGAAAATCAGCTGCTCAACCCAGGTTCAACCTCAACCGAGAATCGACACTGAACCCAGAAAGGAGTGTGAGCAAACTATATCTGAGGCAAAAGCGCACCTTGAAAAGAAACCCAAGCAAGAGAAAGTACAAGAGGTAACAACTAATAAAAAAGAGAACCGTGCGAAAGGTAATCTGGACAAAGATAAGGATAAAATCAAAGAACAGGAAGAAACCAAGGTCGAAAATACGACGAATGATTTGGGAAAGATTGCTGTCATGACGGACAAGAAGCCATTTGGGGTTACCAAAGAACACAATAGCTATGTTGAAACGGCAGCAGGTAAAGAGAAACTTATCGATACGGCATCCGATAATAGAGCGGACCACATCCGCAAGAATGGCGAAAAAGAAACTGCAAATACAAAGGTAAAGAACGGCAAAGGATTTGTAGACGGATACAAACGAAAACATACCAATGCTAAAGAGTTGGGTCAACAACTATTAGAAGGAAAGGCCAATACTGAGAACCATATAGAAGAATCTAAAGAGGCTAAACCTAATAAAAATGAAAAGAGAGTCACCAATCCAGAGTTGAAATTCGCCGAAAAGAATAAAAGCAAAATAGAAAATTGCATTGCGGCGAGCAGGGCGAAATCAGTGCTAACGGAGTTCGCAAAGAAGGACCAGGAAGAAAAGAAACTTACGGATCAGTCAGAGCGAGGTAAATCTGTTGATGACTTAGGTCAACTACACGCGAAGGAAACACCTGACGATAATACACAAGAGATGATTGCTAGTAAAATTAAATCACAGATAAATGTCTCCGGAAATAGGTGTACAAATAGCACCGGCCAGATTTCAAACACATGTAGTAGACGATTAACAGAACTTAAACTTAAGCAAGAAAATTTGAACGATCAGAAAAAGACAAATATATCCGTTCAGACAACGGAAGTTCAGGCGCAGCAGAAAAAAGAGCTAACGAAAATTGATAAAAAACTTTCTAACGTCTCAGAGAAGCCGTCCGCGTCTTACATCAAAACTATCGCTGGACCAACATCTGCCGGACAAGCTCACAAGGAAACCGATACACCTACAAAACGCAAGCAGAAGCAGAAAGAAGAGCACCAAAATCGAAAGCATGCGGACGTGGTAAATCAAAAACCTAGAGTAAAAACTGGAGCATATGAAACTGAGACAAAGCATTCTGACGTCGGTACACGTGAGCAGCTCGATGCTAACAAAGCCTCTAAATTTAGTAAGCAAAAGGAGGCTTTGGAGTTACCTGAACAAGGACCAGTTGAGAAGATCGCCGTTCTGAAAGGCCGAGAAAAATTTGAACCTGGCAACAAAACAGATGAGACAATAAAACAATCGACTGATAAGAAAATTTACGCACCATTCCCGATTGTTCTAGACGAGAAGAGGAAGAGACAGAAGAGCGCACAAGATCAAAAGCAGGCCAACACTTTTACGACTGACAACGAAGAAACACTAAAATTTTCCGATAAAAATATCCAAGCCAAAATACAGGCTAAAGCTGAGATTCCTACTACAATAGAAGTAAATGAAGATAAACGACACAAGGAAGAACGGGCACCACCGAATATGCCAGAAAAACCATTCATGAAAACAAAAGATGAAATATTTAGGGAAAAAGATTTAGAACGGAAAATAGCGTTTATTCAACAGTTAGAGATCCAGCATTCGGCTAGCTCGATCTGTTTGTCATCAACAGGTGGAACTGCGGGCATAGTTGAGTCCAAGAGTAAGTGCTCGCTTGAAATGCTGAGAAAACCACCGAACAAATCTGAAGAATTGGGCGAAACACGTGTGGTTGTTCCAGAGCAAAGAATTACCAAAAAGCACAACGACGTAGAGGCAAAACGAGCTGAAGAGCAAGTAGCACGCGAGGATTCTCAGCACCATGTAAACATAACGCAGGTGCTACCGGTGTCACAGGACAATCCGAAGGCACGGAAAAACATGCCGCCTCCCTCCTTAGATCTCAGAACGGCGGAAGCTCCATCAGAGGTGTTACATAATGATATAACCATTGCCAATAGAGCTGTTTATCACGTAGTTGAAAAAATTACTACTAGTGGTCAAAGCAGTCGCAAAGAGATCATGTATCAGAATGGCATGAGCGAGCCGATGAAAGCGCTAGACGAAAGTACGATTGTATCCAAACCACCAAAGTCGGGTTTCGTTAAAGAAGTTCCAAATTCCCTTAAGCTTTCGACGTTGCAAGAGGAGCGACCAGCGTCAACATCTGTGTCCGGCGAGCAGCAAACTATGGTTGAAGCCCGACTTATCACAGGTAAGCATACCACCATTAGCACTGATTAATTCGCATAACCTAAAGTAGGCTCACTAGGCAACATTTGCTGATCAGCGAAAGGCGCGAAGCAACAAAGAGACAGTTATATATATAGAGAAAGAAACGAAGCTATTATTCCCCACCAAGCATGATGTTCACACCATCCTAAGTAATCCAACTTTTAACGAAAATGACCGTCCGAAGCCTGTAGTTCACGCTTCGAGGCTTTAGGCGGTTACCGCAACACGTATTTGACTACATATGAGATCCTAATATGCGACAAATGTAATCTACTAGAAAATAATATCTATTTTTGTTGGAAAAGCGCTATTAGTTATTTGCTAGTCTACTTAGACCCTGAGGCCCATGGGTACTAGCCGCCAGATTGCGAACCTGCCCCGAGACTTGTGTTCGTTGCCTCCAAGAGATTCAAAAGTGCCTTAAGTATTCACAAAGTGGTTGAGTTCGTTCAGCGTATCCGCCACATCTCTTAAGCAAGAAGCCCTTTTTTGTTATAGAAGATGGGACATTGCGTGATATCATGCCGGCTAGATACCATACATTTTTTGCTCGCTAGAACGCCTCGGATGCGACATACCCGCTGTCTAAGGCATCGTTTTAATTAAGTCGACTCATATAGCTGTACTGAATAAACCTTCCACGTTACTCTCCTACATCTTTAAACACAGGACAACTACACCCTAGCAGATCGCCAACACCATTTGTTTATGTACGGTATGTGAGCCTCTACATGCTTCTCACGCCAAGCGAATGTCACCCAGCTGCTCTCCGTGCGCGGTACGTTCAGATACAAACTCATTGCAGGCAACTTTGAGTGTACATTAGAGTACACCCGCCATGATCTGTTAGTTGTTTTATACAACTGGTCCGATCTGAAAAGTGAAATAAATCCAGATTAGCCTATCAACTTTGCTTTGGCCCGATATTATACAACTTAGCTAACGTTATTATCTGAAATTATCAAGGTGCCACGGCGAAAGAGCAGATAATGTCAAACGGCTTTGAGTTGGCGCGTGCTGATCTCTGATATGTCGCTAATGGCGTCTCAAACTGGTGTCGGCTGTTTGTTGGTATCACTCAGCACGATAGTTAGTGATCATGAGGGCAAACGTCGGTAGTGGTAGTGCAAATAGTAACAACAGGAGGAATGCTAGAGAACAGTTGCAGAAGCTTTCAAGGATACAATAGCTTAGCGTGTAGTTAAGAGCTAAGAAGAAGAGGCTCGTTTAGAACAAAGCACGAAAAAATAAAAATATGACTGCACTGAAAATTTCTACGTAGGGTCGTTTCTTCGGTTGTCGGAGTGCAAATAACGTAGCTTCTTATCGAACTAAAGGCGGACATTTTTTAATAAAAGCCAGTTTGCACAAATTTGGGTTATCTATTGCCTGTAAGCGTTACGTTCATCTGTACGTGCCATGGATGATGATGTATTCCTTTGGGACTATTGTGTTAACAATCTTGATTTACAGGCAGTGTTATCATGAGCTCGGCATTTATTTTTACGCCCTACAGTTCCTGTCTAGTTTCCACATTTGTGTGCGTTCTGTTAGTTACCATTGCTATCGTTTTGACCACTTAAGCGTCCTTGGTGATTCCAGAATTCAACAACCCTCCATGTGGACCACTACATAGGTACTTCTTACTTTACTCAGGCGCCTGTACAACGTGTTAGCTCAGGCCACAATTTCCGTTGTTCTCTGCCCTTCTACTTAGCTATTTCAAAAACCTAAAAACAGTTTTTACTTAAGTCGCAGCGAGAAACGTACCATTCGAACGATTCATCCGTGTGATCTGCTGTGGCACACAATATTTTTTGACGTTTTTTATATTTATAATTACAACAAACACTTTACGAAGCGTTCCTCTTTTTATATTACCATTTTCGTCCCGTTTAATCGATTAAATGTTTGTGGGTGTTTTGTCGGTGGTTTATAGTTGATCGACTGGTATTCTCAAAAAACGTGTCTCGACTCGGCGGACGTCCTTTTTTAATGGCTATCGGCGCGAGTTGGCAGCGTCATCGGTGTTACTCGACGCTGTTTTGGACCACGCGCTCAGTCTTGTTTAGTCTGTACTTCGTAGCATAATACGCACAACCAGTGAATGAGACTGCGGCATTTCGACCAATCGTACAAACTCAAAACATACCCAGCCTCGAAATCTTGTCCTTTCAGCTTTCCCATAGTAGCACAGGTTAGAGTACACAGATCTCTACGATCGATTTTGTTAGTTTTTTCTTTGACATACGAAGGAATCGTTTCCAGAAGGAACGGAATGTGACGCTTCGTTTGAGGTCGCGCTTTCTAAAAGGAAATTGAGCTTCTGAGCAACTTTCCGCGCGAAGGACTCTGTGAACAAGGCCAAAAATGTTCAACCATAAGACCAAAAATTGTTTCGAAAGGCTACGGTATTTCGGTGGGTCACAGGTAATTGGTTAGCTACAATTTTCACCCCCGTTTGGTATCTTCTTTCTCTTGTCGGGGGGGCGGGGCGGGGCGGGGGGACTAGATAGTAGTGCTGAACACGCTTTTTATACTGGTATCTGCTATCGGCATAGATGTAGAGGTAGGACCTGAGGCAGCTCACGTGTTAGAGACCGTGTTTCATTATGGTCACCTGATTTTTTAGCAACGTCCACCTCTGTTAAGGGAAATTCTGGAATTAGGCGCAAGATCGTTAAAGATAAAATGCGACAGTCATCAGTATCTCTCCATAAATTGTCTATTCCTATGCAAGAATTTCTATGGAGATCTAATATATATGGCATACCCGTTTCCATTTTCAATTAGTATTCCTTTACGAAAAACAATTGTCATCTTATTGATGACCGTCTCGAGGTGTCGAGATTCGAGAAGACCTATTAGAAAAAGAGAAACTGTATTACCAGTGAGGGCTATATTACTATGCAAGGTCATGTCGACCACAGAAGAAAGTCAGCTTCTTTAGGGGCAGGTAAGCTCTAACCAAAACCAATCGCAAACAGTTTACACATGTTAGTTTTAGTGTCGATTGGCTTGTTGACAAATGAGGACCTTTATCGGCCAGTCTCGCACAACCGGGCCTTGGGCGGTTCGAAGCCCGCAAGTATCCCTTAGCCCGCAAATTTTTGCTCACCAAGCTCTACAATATTGTACGTAAAGCAAAAACAGAAATCTCACCCTTTCCAAATATTTGATGCTGTCTGTGGTAAAACTATCAGTTTGATCCTTTGAAAAAGTATCAGTTACTAGCAAGTATTATAGTTTGAAAGGCCCATTAGGCCAACGAAAGCATTTTATAGTCGATTGTTGCCCGTGTTGATTTCTTTCTTTTTATTAGGCGGTTTTGATAAAGCAGCATTTTCTAAGATCTAATACCAATTACACAAAATCAGATAGACTTGATTATATCCAGCCAGTTTATTTGACAGAGGCAATATTTAATAGACGTTAACTTAACGTCTGCTTCCAACTTACTGCTGTATCTTGTTTTATGCATGTCTTTGGTTCGCTGCCAGGTGATATCCTTGTACCTTTTTATCAGGTTAATACTAATCATTCGTTTAATACGGTCCTTACTTTGTTGCAGCTTCGTCAACTTTGCATCTAAATCATTTTTATGACCACATTTTTCTCACATTAGGTTGTTCTCTAGCGACAAATACGTTCGTAACTTACATCGTAAATTATCCATTTCTGAATGCGCCAGCTTCTATTGGCAAACTTAAGCCTAACGGTTGGCTGAGAGATGCAGCTCCGGGCGTTGTTCGCGACCAAAGCGCGTATCTTACTCCTCCATATGTATACGATCATCAGTGTGATTCCTGCGACCCGCAAAGCTGCGCACACTAGACGCTAGTAACGACGGCCGTGAAATCGCAACACGAATCGCTTATGTTTATGTATGTTCCTATGACCCTCAATAATGGTCAGCGTGAAGTCCGTGTATTGGTTGAGCTATAGCTAAACAACGCTGAAGCAGGCGTGGCCGTGACAGATTGAAGTGGTGCCAGACAAAATCTCTGTGCCCACTTTTGGCATCGTCTTCGCCGACCTCGAGTGCCCGTCTGTCCGGCACTGTTCCTAGCTGTTTTGGGCTGCTCAGATATGTTCCAGTAAAACAAATGTCTCTCTCGGGCCTACCTAACACAAGTTACTCATATTTACAAAGGAAATGCGTAGAATAGCGTCAAACGTCGTCGGCGGCGACCTATGCCGCAGTCCTCATGAGATTTAACGACGCACAACACGCAGTGGGCTGAATCGCGACGGACATGATTGCAACGTTACCAAGCTGGTACTCACAGTTCTGTCTGTGGCAGTGGGAAGACCCGGCTAACATATGGTACATATGGTTGCTGTTTGTAAGCCATATCAAGCCAGTTCGCTGACTGCTGCATTGCCTATATAGCATTTCTAAGCTATCTGCGGTGCAATTCTGGCAAGGGCGATTATAATCACCTCGCGCACGCATTAGGATGCGAAACGGTACCCGCGGCACTATACAACGTCGTCTCTGAATGTAGATAAAGCGCTGCTAGCTAAAACACGATTTTAAAGAGTTGACATGGTAATAAAATAGGTAACGTTTTGATCAGAAAAAAAAAACTTATCATACATATTTACACACTGATAGCTACTAATAAATAAACTAAAAAACGTTACGTTTTTTGTTGAATCTCCCACCTAATCTCTATATGGCGAAACCCAAGGACGGACTTTAGGCGATGTTGTCAGTAGACCTCGACACTGTCGTCCAGGAACTTATTATCCAAACTATATTGAGGTTTAAAGAAAGGCGCTCGTTCCTTTACTTGAACTGACTCTTTTGGCTGTGTACCACCTTGTAACCTTTTAGCCCACATCGCAACTAAACCCATAAATCAGACCTAACAAATATTAAATTTGACAGAAAATAGTTTTCAGCTGAAGGTTATTTGATAGCATACGTGGACCACATGGGACGAGCCAGCAGCGTCCCTAAAGGTTTCGTTTTCTGTATGTACAATATTTCCTATCAAAAGACTCGGTGACTCCTTAAGCACGCATGGCGTTTAATATTTTTAATTGAATTTATTTTTATGACGAGTGAATATGGTCGAGGATTACGTCGCAACATAAATAGCAGCTAACTATGGCTAGAGTTCGTGGAACTTCAACCTGTCAGATTCGTCATTTGCTGTTGCAGGTCACAAAAGCGAAAGAACGGTGCTTGAATGTCGTGCCACTGACGAGATCTGTCACTTAAGGACAACTGAACAACAGGCCCTCATTCGATTCAGAAAGTATTCATTGTTAGACTTCAACCTGCTTAAGGTGCTCGGTAAAGGAAGCTTTGGCAAGGTGTGTTTGGCGTTGCATATATATATGTATAGAGACTTTTCTATTCATCTAATAGAACCAAGGCTTGCATTTTGTTACTGAAGTAGCAAAAAACTTTAGTAATTATGCAGATAAGTTAGGCACGACTTGGAAAAATGACATTATGCTGATTGATTAGAAAAACGTTGTGATGTCACATGCCCTGTACGCCTATAACAAATAAACATTTTGCGGAGAACTTCAGTTGTTAGGATTAAACTGCGAAGCTTTACGCTGGCCACGTCTCTGTTTGTCTTTGTTTGGAAGGTGTTTCTAGTTGAACTTCGGGATGTTGCGATTTACTTTGCGATGAAGTGCCTGAAGAAGGATGTCGTCCTCGAAGACGATGATGTTGAATGCACTTTAATCGAGCGGCAAGTTTTGTCATTGGGCTCGCATAATCCGTTCGTGTGCAAGCTTTTTTGTACGTTCCAAACAGATTCGCATCTATTTTTCGTCATGGAGTTTCTACGAGGTGGCGATCTAATGTTCCATGTACAAAACGAGGGCAGCTTCACCGAGGAAAGGGCGAGGTCTGTCTTCAGTACCCATCCGATTCATACGTATGAGGGATTAGGACCAGGAAGTCTTCGGTTCTGATCTGGTCGGGCACATCCAAATCGATGCAATTTCTAACACATACATTTGTTAATCAAGTAAATTATTATAGTTTATTTTTATATTTTAATTATCACGCTTGGCTATTAGACAGTAGTATTACCAGTTCGTTCGCTTTTCAAATAACCTGGCAGTTAGTTGAACCCAGGAAAAGAGTCACGAGCAAAAGTGTTGCCAAGCAAATAGAAACGATATGAAAACAAGCAGGTTGTGCTGGTTCATAACTAGTCCGTTAAGAGCTACGTATTTATCACCACTGACGTATCCATCGACTATAACTGTTCACCCAATCCGTATTCCGTCGTTCTGTGTGGTGTATATGTGTATCCTATTATAGATCTACCATGGCCTCCGTGATACCAAAGTAACAAACAGCCTCTTAATCCAATTCAATTTCTATTGCGTATTCCTGACAGATTTTACGGTGCTGAGATCGTATGTGCCCTTAAATTCTTGCATAGGCGTGGCATTGTCTATCGAGATCTAAAATTGGACAATGTGTGCTTGGATGGCGATGGCCACATTCGACTGATCGACTTCGGGATGTGTGTACTTCGCGTGTACCACTATGAGCCAACGGCGTTCTGCGGAACCCCTGAGTACATGGCTCCTGAGGTATGCCTTTAACTAATGGTTATTATGTGAAACAATAGAAAGAGGGTAGAGATATAGACATTTAGTCTATACTATATGGCCTTATAAATGAGAGTAAACTTATTAGTAGACGATGCATTCAGGAACGATACCGGTTCGGTGTGCTGTATGTGTACGGAGACCTTGATAATTTTTCATATGGTCGTTGATACATACGGCTGTCTCCCACACATTATGGATATAATATTATAAGAATGTTTTAACGGCGCGCTTTCAACACTAAAATCAACAATTATAGTGACCTGTCGCTCAACTTAAATGTAGTTTAAAACAGAAATGATGGCACTCAAAGGGGGGTTATGGCATCTATTTTAGGTGATTGAGGGAAGGCAGTATAGTTACCCGGTGGATTGGTGGTCGTTTGGTGTAGTGATGTATGAGATGCTACGGGGCCGCTCTCCGTATACGGGCTGTGATGAGGAGGAGTTGTTTTGGAACGTTATGAACACTGAAGTCGAGTATCCCAAGTACTTCAGTAGAGAAGCTAAGAATCTTATTCAAAATGTACGTCTCTTTCGTTTCTATGTTAAGATTAATTCTATTACTAAAGGAAATGTGTAGATTCTTCATAAAATTAGCGAAGGACAAATAAGACAATGGAAAATTCAGTCGCAAACTGAGTAAATACAGTCAATGAGAGTTTCAACTTCAAATGAACGTTTCTTGGCATTTAAAATTAGTTTATAATGCAGGTAGTAAAAAAGGCTCGTACGAAGCCAAATTCTCATGGAGGAATACATATGTTTTGCGCTTGTAAGATAATAGGAAAAAAGATCTAGACGACAATTGAAAGAGGTTTAAGTAAAAATATTGGTTTGGAGTACTATTTGAATCAGCTTCAAGATAAAAGGAGGTTTAAAGCTCTTGAACTTAACTTGCTCTTAAAGCTACCAGGATCTTAGTAGCGGAGCCTGCTCTGCGCAGGACGGTCGCTTTCGATCTCCTTAATGAAAAGATGCAGCGATAGACCCAGCTGCAAACAAAGAAGATGGCCAGTATATCATTACATCGATGACCTCATTCAGTCTAAATTTTCGTAGTAATTGTTTAACAGTTGCTGCAAAGGGATCCCGAAAATCGTTTAGGAACTCCGGAGTGTGGACGAGGAGATATCCGCGATCACCCTTTTTTCGACGGAATTAACTGGAGTCAAGTTGAGAGAAAACAACTTACGCCCCATTTCAAACCGTTTATTGTAAGTATCAGTTACACAGAACATCACAAGTTACCTTCAACGTTAAGTACTATGATAATTTACAGGCCTGAAGATCGAACAGTCGACGCTCAATGGAAGTGCTGACAAACCACGACTGAGCATTATCCCCGTGATGGTGCTATAATAAAAGTGTCTGCCGATTAAATGACCGGAAGTCTCGACTCAGGACCAGGCATCGACGCAATTATTTTCGTGCCTGGTCAACAAATGAGCCTTAGTTACCCGTCCAGACGTCAAATTTATAATAGATAATGTTATTTTACCTAAAAACAATGGTAAGATACACTCTTATCACATAATGTTGCTCCCATCGGATAGATTTTTTACACCATGTCTTATTTATGGTGATGATCGGATGACGAATATGCTGAATTCTTAAGTAATAAGTCAAATAACCTACACAACTTATAATGTCAAATTCTGTATCATTCGCCTTTCAGCATGGAGCGAGTGATGTTTCGAACTTTGACGAGGATTTTACACGGGAACCAGCCGTTTTAACCCCTATAGAAGACGATGTATTAGCCGCTATGGATCAGAACATCTTTAAGGAATTCAGCTACACGAATCCTAACATGACATCATAGAAGTGCAGAATAGTCTTTGATCTGACCGTCACTGAATGAGGCACTACGGCTTGATGTTTGGGTTGAAACAGAAACAGGACAATATGTGAAGTCATTTTTAATGTCCTAGTGATGTACCACTAGAAACTTCGTGAAGCTTTGTATGACGTGATGGTATTTGAATTCATATTTGCTTAGAATGTATCGGCAATCACGAACCGTACCATAGCTTGCTTGGGTTCATCATTGAAATAGTAGAAAAAATAACCGCATACTTAATTGACTTATTTTTTTTCCCGAACCTTGTTTTCATTGGTATCAGAGGTAACTTGAAAACAAAACCTTCGATCCCTATTTTACCCAACAGGCATATGCTTACTTAGGAAAAGCTACAAGACAACAAACAGTTTCCTACTGCGGCTGTTAATCTTTGGGTGAGACTTAGTATGATACACGTGGTTAGGAAACGATACTCGACCTGTGTTTAGGATACCTATACAATTATACCACATTAGAGTACCCGAGTTCTGTGTTGTATTCAAACGGCCGTTACAGATCGTCATATATCAAATTATATTTCGAGTACGTACCGTGCCCCGTCAATGGTTTTTTATTGTAAAAATTTGCTACTATCGAACTGATTTTTAGGCCCTTTGGGCGGCATTTATCGAACGTCGTAGTGTAGCGTCTCAAGCATGATGTAAAAACGGCTTAAAGCGGGGCGATATATGGTATCCCTCTGTGCATTTTGGAGTAGACGGCGTCGGTAATGTAAGTTCTCTTTAATTAATTTAACTTTTGCTACAAACTGATTGTATTTCGCAGAAAGTTTTTATCGGATCCGCTGTAAGTAACATGTAAACTATATGCCGCGTCCGATATTTAGTAAGTAACTACAAAAAAACGGTAGATTAGATATTCTATTTATATTAGTTTTATTAACTGAAAATACCGCATGTGTCATACCCTTAAAGTTCAGTTGTAATAACACATTTTTATTATTAACGACTTTTCATCAATTTGAGTTTTTTTGTAAATTCTTTCTTGTATTTTTTCGCCTCTTATTTCGTATGTGGTCTTTAGGACAACACCAGAAGAGTTTTGATGGTGAAATGCGCATACTTTATTGTTTATTTCATTGTTCTTTATGGCGTTATTTTCCGGTAGTACTTAACGTTTTTCAAGAAGGTTCGAACCTGGAATGGCGCCCGGATATTTGCCTTAGTTATGTGCTTTATTTGTTTGGTTGTCAAAGTACTTCGTTCATTTGTTTCCATATATAAATCTGTGTTTCGACAGCTTTCACACATTGAAATCACCACTAAATCACATGTTTTTTTTTCCAGTTTAACCGTTTCCTTAATCTGTCCTGGATCGGTTATATCTTTCTTTTGAATTCGACTCTCACACAACTCTCCATTGTTCCTGTGCCTTCCTATTTCTTTGCAGTGCTTAATGCTCTTTCTTAAAATTTTATTTTATCTTTTTTCGGTCGATCGTGTGCTACTTTCTGTTGACTGCAGGTCTGCCTTGCACTATTTGCTTGCGTTTATGGGCGCACGTATAGACGTTCGCGCCATTCGACGTTATGAAGGTGTTTTGTCTTCTGTCTGTCGTCTATTTTGCTACATAATAGTTACTAAAGTGGTCCCTTTGATTTCTTGGTTATTAATTGTCATCCCTCATGAAGATTTTTCAATACGTTGCTATAGTGACGTTCTTTCGACCCAGCGGGATGCATTTCTTATCCTCGGGTGTATGCCTGTTACTCACAGGCATAGCTTGGGCTCGTAGCAACTTCATCTGTTTCTTTTTTTAACACTTGATCGAGTTTATGTTATGTAAAAATACCGATATCAGTTGTACCTAAGTAATACTAAATGCGAGTATCATTCACGGCGTGGAGCGGGCTCGAAAAACATGGCCGACACTAGGGAAGATTACGAAACGGAAAGGCAGTAACTACAATTTGAAGCTTGATCAAGGTCAGCCTAATCAAAGTGGGTAAAGCCTAAAACGTAAGTTAGTCCTTCTCCGTAGTGTTTGGGATGCCGAAAAACGATAGACACAATTCAAATGTACGACTGCCTTACGGGTACTCGGATGTGTCCTGCAATGACAATTGCTGTTAGCCGTCGACCATTCGGTGAACGTTATTATTATCCAGGATGCAACTTTACGAGAAATATAGCCTTGCCCGTTGCTCACTGAGCTCGATCAGATAATTAAATAGTAACAAAGCGACATAACAAAAACGATCGCGTGTCTCAGTGGCTGCGGCGTTCAGACCGAGGTCTGCTGTATATATGCTAAGGGAAGTCGAACATTACACTAAATAATCCGTGCTGCTAGATGATCAGTGTTCACTGTGATTCTTGTATATGTCTGATAATAGTCTGTATGGATATAAATAAAATCTGTGCTTACTAAATTAATTACGATTGATCGCAGTGTTGAGTATTTATAACATTGTTATTAGCAGTGTGTGTATTGCCCTAGTACTATTCTTATAACGCCAATGTGTTTTTATGCTTATTTATTAATCTGCAGTAAAAATATCAGAAAATGTTTCTGTTTTTTTTTTTTTTTTTCGTAGATATTTCTAACTCAGCGGGATCTTTTCACGAGTTTACCGTTCGTATAATATGATGATACCGCTTAAAGACAAGAGTCAACAATAATCACTGTACTTAAAGCTTCGGGTACTGATAAATCGCCTCTGTCCAGACTGTTACTATTATTGCCATGGCTTACGTGCGAAGTTATTACACACAGTCAATCACTTTGATCGGAAGGCGATAGAAATTACGCTGTTATTCAGCCAGGTTGCCTTGCAATCGGCCCGGGGTGGTCCTACAATCATTTTCACAAAACGTGCTTTCGTGACCTAGTTCTAGTTCGGCTAACCGAATTCGCTGGGAGTACTTGTACCTAATTATAGCTCTAGTCAAATGAAACCCACTCGACATGTATTCGGTACGCTGATTAGGTTCAACCGCACGACTTTTCTGACTCAGTTTCGGATTATACGGCTAGTGAACGAAAATCTCTGATCATTTATAAATAGCCATATTGGTTCCTACCTATTGATTCAATATTGTGGAGTTTATGCTGCTGGTTACGTGTGTTGTCTACGTAATCGTCGTCCAAAAACGTTTCTATATATATCTATACATATATCGATTTAATGGTCTCTTTTCTTGACGCTCTTTATGATATAATAAAATCTAGAAATATTAATAAAACATTAATCGTTATAACAGCGCTGCTCTCCCAATTTTAATTTCGTTTTTAGCTCTTTCTCTGCTTTTCTTGTTTTCAAGTGACTATATATATATGTATGTATAAACGCAGTATGTTTGCAACATCGTGGGTTTGGCTTTTCCTGTTTTTAATCCTGTTTTTCTCAAACTCTTTTTAAGCTCTTATGTTTATGTGCTCAAACATTTTTAAGCGTCGTTTCTTATTTTTTATTAGTATTAATCGATTTGTCTAATATCGTTTGCTGCTGGCGCTTGTCAACGTCTTTTCTTTTCGAAACAAATCCACGACGTTAGCCATCTCCTCCAAAAAAGTTTTATAAAAGAACTTTAAGTAGAGCACATCAAGTGGCTACATTAAGTGGCAGTGTTCATTGGCCAGGGTAGCCGCGAATCTTCTTTAATACCCAATGGTGAACAATTATTGGCCGGGTATCGGGCTAATATGTACGGGTGTCACTGAAACGTTGGTCAGCAATGGTATCCACCTATTTTTCCATATTTTTCATGGGTCAAACCAACGATTGTGATTTGACCATTTTTTTCATTTCATACGGCTAGTAAAGAGGTACCAATTGATACTTGGTGACACTTCACAGAACCTCACACCTTAGGTGCACCTAGGCTATTAATCATTAGATGAAATATATAGATATATATATATATATATATAGATATATATATATCTACATCATTTTCGGACAGCCCGTGTAGGGACAGGCGGATTCCTCAAGCTTACGTTAACAAGCGCTTTTCAAACACATCTATTACAGAATGACTAGGATTTGGTAGGTGATTAAGAGAGGTCTCGGTTTCTTAAAGACCATCTCTTTTATTTTGTGCTCATTCTGCTGCAATGCTTGGTGTAACAACAGATCTGCGCTTTACAAAGCCAAATAGCAAGCAATGTCTCAGGACATATTCCAAGTTCCTAGAATGATTCGGTGTAACTGACAACAAACAAAAATCTTTTAATGTCAAAAGTACATATGTGCGGTATTTTTCATATTACATATGAGAATTTTGTTTGTTTTTTTGTTATATCTTGTAAAACATTACTCTTATGTTAAATGTATCGGAAAAAAATCTTATCTGATTGCCTTAGCCAGGCGTGTTGCCAGGTACAGTCTCCGTCCAGGCCGATCTCATGGAGTTTAGATCCATAATATGGTAACAACTCTATTATGTGATAGAGTGATGGCTTGTCATGATACATTCATGTGGACTTTCACACAAACCTTTCCCTATATATAATTTCACTTAGGCTCGAATTATATAGCGGTAGTGATGTCATGTAAAAATTAAAAAGCAGTGCAAAGGTCCTGTAGCCCGTTAGAATATTTTGTGTTCCTGTTTATTGCTATGCTGATATTGTGTGCTTATCAGTCGTGTGCATACCCGTCCAGGACGCGAGAATTAGTTATCTGTAGAAACGAAAGTTCCCTGTTGTACAATTCATTGATAAACCCCCAGTATAATAATTTATTGCAATGTAATGAATAGGGGTAATCGGTGTAACCAATTCAGTGGGTATGGCATTTCGCTTTTCCCAATTACTCAATGGCGTAGGTGTGGATGAAGTATGTCGTAGAACTACCCGCTGAAAAACACACATCTCGTCACTGTTTGACTGCTCGCTTTTTCTCACGTATTCTCTGTAAGCAGTATGAGCAGCAATTGCGGCAAACGGGACTGTTTTTTTTTTTTTTTGTTTAATGTAAAAGAAAACTAGAAGCCACAAAACGTTTTTTAAGAAGTAGAAAAAAATAAAATACTATCCATCTCTGATCCACGCGAGCTGGTCAGTGTTCCTTTCGAGTGGCTCTGGTAACTTCTTCTAGCAGCAGTATTTTCATTGTTACAGAAATGCACAATCGTAAAATCAGCAGTCTCGCTCATGTTACGTTTAAGTAAGTAGGACTCAAGGACACAATGGCATCATATATCATTAGTGTTAGGGTTGTCATCTTAGTTGCCTGCAATCTTGTTAGATTTATTACTATTATTACCATCATCGTCAACACAATTATATATATATACATCATGTTTTTTGTATACACTTGGTACACTCGCTGCGGCGCGCGCTGCCTCCACTCCTTAACATATTTTTGGTGGGGGCAGAACAGGGGCAAAGGATTATTATTTCTCGTCAGTTCTATGGCCTCTTTTTGAAACACGCTTGCGAACATTCAAGTTCTCGATTTAGGCAATTTGCTTTTCTAAGTAACCACTTGAAAATTGGTAGTGTTAATAGGGTGTTATTACTATTTTTTTTATTTCCCTTTTCTGTACGACTTGTTGCACGTGATCAGGAAGCCAAACTGCGCTCTTATCACTTTGGGAGGAAGCTGCTACATGACCCTTGATGGTTACAGCGAACTGACGATGTTTCGGTATTTTTTTTTTGGTAGTCAAGGATTGAAGGGGTTATTTAGCTTAGATGCTGTCTTCCTTTACGTATGTAGTTGTAGTAACAGAGCTATGCTTGTCTAATAATTAGAGAGTAGGCAATACATCTCATTGTTTGTTGACACTGTTGTTACTTTTGTTCGTGCAAAAATATTGGGTCTCGGTCCCCATATCCTTCCAGGCTCACCAGGCGTCCGTATAGCGGACGTCGCATACCTCCATCTCTGGAAAGCGGTCCTGTAATCAATGGAAAATGGCAAACATGACAGACATGCGATGCGAATTAGTCGATGCCCGGAGTAGAACTGGACACAGCCAAATGAACGGTGTGTATGTTGGAGTGCACGATTCCGCATAATTTTATTACATGCTCTCGGCCCAAACGCAGTATCCGGGAGTCATAAAATAAAAACGGCCTAATTTCCTTCTTAAATAATTGATCATTATAGATCATCATCATCATTATAGATAGTTCTATTATATCGCAACTGATAACTATTTCGAATTGATTAACAACAAACAGCATCACCAATGCCTGTATTGGCTCGCTATAGTTTTTTTACCGCTGATTTATAGGGAAAACGTTATCGATGATCCGCGTCGGGAAAAAAACAGTCATCCGAACTACAACCCTTAGTCAAAACAAAATATCCTTGCCAACAGACCGGTAAAGCCAGCTTTCTGTATTCATGGTCATGTATGGTTTATCGTACTACTACTTAAAGTAATCGACGAGATATTTAGTGATAGCAAAAAAAGGCTTACGACGGCTGGTCAAATCTAGCTTTTAGGCATGCATAACATGTCTTTTCTTTTAACATTGTTGGCAAATAACCCTCTGTTGCCCCCTTTCAATTTCTTATGAGATCTCGTTGTCGCTTTGGTAGCGGAGAGCATATTCAGTCGACGCGCGTATACTCGACGTCAGTCGAAAAGCCAACTCTGAGGAACGAGACGAAACTACATCGTTGACCAACGCCGTAGCGCTATTTTCATTTGAAGAAGCGAGCAAAATCAAGAATATACTACTCTCTCTACATCGCGATACACAGGTCTTCTCAATCGAGTTTCAACAACATTCAACATCTCGTTCTTTTCGAATTGTCGATGGCAAATACTTTTGCATGCTTGTTCCGGCGCATCTACGTTCATCAGTAGAAGTTTACCATGGAAGCGATTTGACGGTATTCAGTGATTCATCAAGTATCGAAAGTCGAAACAATCGAGCCCCTTGCTCTCGCCCACCGCGTCTACTCAATAACACAATGCGATCTTAAAAAATCACTAAGGCAAACTTATTCATTCAATTCCGGTTTCCATTTACCGCTCCATCCTGATCAGCTGTTATCAGAGCGAGGGTTCAAAAGCTACCTGTGACTAACAGCAACGTAACCAGTGCCAGCCTTAATGGCCTTCAGTCTCAGAGGCGGACATCCTTGTGGTAGACCCCTGTTACGTTTATCTGCGGCTGTGGTGGCAACCGCGGTGAGAAAGGACTGGGGCAGCTGCTTATCTTAGCCTATCCTTGCGACACCCAGCACGACAACAAATCCATAACGGAACAAGCTATGCTCGACATGACGCAGGTTACGACAGAAGTTGTCTAAACACAGAATACGCTAACGAAACGGACGATAGAATCGACCGCTGGCGCCGTCAGCGGTGTAAACACTGCTGTAATTGCCATAAACACATACCGAATACATGCACGAAGAGCGTATATTTGAGCCCAAATAGGTCATGCTCACCGTGTGTCTATACTCGTTCGCTTAAGCGTGACATATAGATGATATGCTTAGAGAATTACAACATTGGGGCAAGGGGAATGCTGAGGTCACGGGTCAACATTTATAAACGATTCACCACTAAAAACTGTCTCCGTACCGATGATGTTCTTTTCTGCTGGGACAGATAAAAGGGATGAAAAGCAAAACGGAAACGATATTGACACAATATCTGATTAACAACAAACAGCACCACCAATGCCTGTATTGGCTCGCTATAGTTTTTTTATGGCTGATTTATAGGGAAAACGTTATCGATGATCCTAACGAAAGTGAGCCGAAACGTTCATTAAGTGCAAGTAAAATGTTATTGATGACGATTCATAAGAAATTGTTGTTTTTGAATTAGGCTTGCTTTTATGTATGTAATAATGCTATCTGATTGGTTAAGACCGTGTTCCCGTACCTTGAGTTTGCAGTAGGCATCCATGGTAACCCTAGTCGAATTGAGATTTACAACACGTAACTGGTGCAGGGAAGTGAGCGCTTCGACGCCACGTGCTCCAATCGAAGTTTCACATAAATTAACTTCCTCTAACTTCGAAAGTCGATAGCATAGCGCCTCCAAACCCACATCGGTGATCTGTTATTGGTAGACGTAAAATAGATATCGAACAGAAAATACCACGTATTTTCATTACAGTCAACGTAACAAAATTAATTGGTCAGGAAGGACAGAGTGAAAAAGTACTTCGTGCAAAACAGCAATATCAACAATAGAAATCGAAGTTAGTAAATTGTTTATGTCGTTTAACTTGTTTAATCCCGGCAGCATGTGCCAGAATAGATCCGATTTTGCATAAGACGCCATGAACAATCTATAGGGAAATACACACATTTTTGCACAGAAAACAGAGAAGATAGATTCGAGATTGATTGCCCGTGGTGTTTTGACCAGCCTGAGTCCTACATGTGATCTATAACGAGTCGTACTTTAGATGACGTTGTTGTATAAGGAAGTTGCGAAGCTCTTAAGGTAATCGTCAGCAACTGTTAACAAGCAGCCATTGTGTGTGACAGTTATATATATATATATATATATAAAAGTAATTGCTCTACAAGGTTATTATTTTGTCCAGGTTCGAAGGTTTCAGTTTGGGTCTAGACTGCAGCGTACAAGTTCGGCAAGCAATAAAAACGGTACTCTAGCCGAAGTCGACCTGAGAGTGGCGTGGAAAAGTAGCTTTCTTCGTTCGAACATAACATTTTCGGCCTGGACCAATACTTCAATGGGTTTTCGAGTTTGATAAAAACAGCCTTGAGCTATATTGTAAAAAAGATCATTGTTAGATTAGCACATACCATTTAAGCATAAAATTTTCCCCTTAAGTAACTGAAATTTCCGACAACTTTTTGCCATCGGTGAACAGCCACTTCTTTTTCAGAATTTTCACTTTTTTAAAATCGAAATTCAGTCATCCAGCTGAACCCGTAACAGAAAAAATCAACGTATGTTATTTTTATAGTAACGTACCTTAGTGGCCCAAAGGTTGAGCTTTTTGAGGCCCTCCAACTGGGTGATAGATTCGACGCTGCGGTCTGTTATTTCGGTGAACGCTAACGAAAGTGCGTACACTTGATTTAGGTCGTGAGTTTTGCTAAGGTTAATCAACAAAAGGTGCAAATCTTGATCGTTCGATTTCGGTGGTAGCGTTACGGTGCCTAGGGTCTTCGAGCGACACGAACTTGCCTAAAAAAAATAAATCTAAATGTATGAATAATGTCTAAGTAAACTGCTAAAGAATAGGGCAACATTGTATGTTTTTTTATAATAAGAGTATTTATTTTTTCTCCAATACAAACTCGAAGCATAATTCTATATAGAAGTGTGATATAGGGGAGGTCAAGGCTAATATATGGGATGTTGTCTTGTAGCACGCATCAACATGGAACCCTACCGCACAGCGAGAGTGCGGACGGTAGAACGTGCACGTAATTCAAGTAGAGTCAATTGTCTGCCATTGAGTTGAGCGTTATTTTAAGATAGTGTGATCATTAGACATTCATTTCAGTTATCTCGACCGCTGCTACTGTTAGCTACTGCGTTAATCAGGTAGCTATTGACACGCAATAGCGTCACACAAACGTCACAGGATAATCACGCATCGGCGTATCGTCAAAAGAACAAATGAGAACTCATCGTTTCTTTGTTGCATATATCGATGAATGAGTTGTATCCTAACCGGCTAACGTCGTCGTATATATATTGTCTAGCTTGTTACGTTATTTTTATAAGTTTCTTCATTCTATTACATGTATATATGTAATCACAGCCTGATATGTACCCACACTGTCGTCAAAAGCACTCGTGCCACTTCAACGATTAGTTGATTTGTACGGCATCATTCTATGGTCCCGGACAGAAACTGGCAGGCGGACAGACAGAGATAAGATATTTAAAGAGAAACAAGGAACGTGTATAGAACGACCCTAGTCCACTTGAACGCGTCCGAGACGGGCGATGATATGCATACTTCGACGGTAATCGTAGAAGTTCGCTACTGGATAAATTGCGGCGACCATTAATAATCGTCTGTATATTCCCTGTTTTCCTACGGTGTAGTCTTCATGCAGTAAAGAAGAAGATGTGTATATCTAATTGGGCTTCTCTGGATGGAAGTGGACTAAATCTCGACAAGGATTACCTATTAAACTTGAAATAGTTCACTTAGAGAGTAGACAGATGTTTCAATACTTGACAAAGGTCGAAATTAACTGAGATTAAGGACGTCGTCCTTAAAGTATAAGATTTACTTTTACGCGAAGGACGACGTCCTGTTATTTCAAGTAAATTAGCAAATAGACAAATCAAACAGAAGAAATAGTAGAACTAATCGAAAGGGAAGCGCGCTTATTTAATAACCAATTTGTCTATTAGGATTCTGCGAAAATGACTCAGCCTAAAAGGACGTACGTTTAAAACCTAAGCTGAACAAGCTAAATTCCCTAAGCAAATTATTGATTTGACAAACAATCGCGCCAAATGTGGCAACGTAGAGTATATCCACGGATCATTTCGAGTTCACGAGGTTTCGAGGTTTACGGTTATGGAAGTGAAATCTAGTTCTAGTCTGTACGTAGGCGGGCCTCAGGATTTTCGAAAAAACAGCATACTTTCCTAAACGAGAGCCTTAAAGGCAGTTTTCATGCAGAATTGCCAATCTCGGCCGGTTTTATTGGTTTCCTACATGTGCTTAACATTGCGTACGAGCCCACTGGCCCTTCCAATAAGAGCCTTTTATACAATGTCTTCAGGACGTGTACGCTAGCCTTTGGCAACGGTTCGACAGATCTTAGGGTACTCACCTTTTAATTTCTGATAACTACAAACGTTTGTTCCTGCATTGACTAAATTCAAGAAGAGCCCGTATCTTTTTGAGGTTTTCAGTGGCTTTCGTCAAAAAGTCTCTGAGTACATCCGACGTCACGGGTGTCATCATGTCCTACCTATTGAATAACTGTTGGATTGTACATCCTGGTTAGGAAAGGATATTTTTTTGCACATTTTGAAAACAGGATTTCGTCGTCAGTTTCGAATAGACGCCTTTGTCGCTCCAATTATTTATACGTAAACGTAATCAGTAATTGTCGTCTAGTTGAAATATTTACTTTCCTTTTTACCAATTACCGTGTGCCTAGTCATCAGATAAATTTGTGGAGGCCACCATTAATATACAGGTTATATATATATATATACCTGTGTGGACGCATTTTGTCATGCGTGAAATGACTAGACGTTATCGGGGAGTGCTGTAGTAAACGATTGCTTTTATCGTCAGTCTTCCTGTTCAATATAATCATGGTAATTAGTTTCGTCTTCTGCTGCTGTCTTAATTGCATTTGTCGATCCTGCCTTTAGTTCCTCTTGATTATCCAGGTATGTCTTCATTCATCATCATAGTGTCGATGCTGTTGTGGTTATTGTTTCTATCGGCCTGATCCAACAAGATTACTGCGACCCATGAGTGTTTATTGCAAACGGACAATGTCATCAGCTGCCGTTTACAGACACGTTCCGTTGCTGACATCACAGCGATAAGGCTTACATAAGGCACATCATCATGATGCGGTTTCTGTATATTAACTAACAGAACTGTTTGCGTCAGCTATAAAACCAGGCAAACATCCGATTAATCCCCCTAACCGGCCAGCCCAAGCGAGGAACGGCCGCGATCTGCAATAAGACCCACTGGCACAAAATCAGTCTGATGACCCCCACAGTGAACTCTGCAAGGATTTAAGTTTGGTGCCATCGAGAACTTCTGAGTACACACGGATTGCGCCTGATTTTGGCAGTCAATTAGAAACCTACGCGGGCGCCGTGCGGCGTTGCCGTATTTCTATGCCGAATTTGATCTGGTTGATCCTCGTTGTTTTTCGTTTCTTTTACAGATTTTTTTTACGGTTCCCTTATAGTAGCGACAGAACTGTCTGTGCGGAAAGCTGCACAAACAACTTTTCTAGCGATTTCTGGACAACATCTTCCTGCTGTCACGACAGCTGTTGCCATCTTTGGCTAGCGTCGTTGGCATCGTGAGGATTTCGCTATGAAGGTAGCATCCGAAGAGACTGCTGTTATGGGGCTCATATAGGCTCGATGGCGGCCGACGGGCCATACATACTAACTGACGTCAGCAAAAACCGGCGCCAAAAGATTCTATTCAGCCTACCGCCGTCACGATTGACGTCACAGGCGAACGCACTGGAATGCGCGCTGTATCTATAATGACCATTGCTGCTATTATTGCTAATGCTGTAACTAGACATTGGAGTTATTGTATGTGGATCGGTAGTAATTCTATCTACAGCGCGAGCAGCGTTCATCAGAAAAAAAAAAAAACAAAAGGGGCAACAACAGCAGCGATTATTATAATCAGCATAGCCTCAACCGATGCGAGTAACGGCGTGCAAGACTCAGATGGCTGCCACCGATCAGACGTCCTGCAGGTCTATACTAAAAATTACGATGTAGTTGGCTTAATCTGCCCTCGATTAAATCTAGCCTACCCAGATCAAAAAGCCCAGTAGCACGAAAAGGTATGACACCAGATGGAATTATCTCTACTTTTTCGTGCGTACCTACGATGAACATTGCTTGTTATCAGTGGTATAGCCAGCTACAACCGGCTCGGCTGACTGTGGTACGGTGAGGGCAAATCATAGTTTGTCATTAACTTATTTGACTCAACGTCAGCTTAAACCAGCTGCGTGTTGTCTCCATGGTTGTCGGTAGCTGTCGTTTCGAATGAACCATTTCCGAACGCCACTGGTCGCAATAATCGGTATAAGCTCCGGGCAAATCGGCGCTTTGTCGCCGATGAGCCTCTCCGGCTACGGAAGTCTGATCGCCATATGATGTTCTGAATTCGTAGAAACGTGTTCGGCGATCGCTATGATAATTAACTCAAACCGGTCAGCGTTATTTTGCCGCAGCCACTGCACTAGCAAGGGAATATTAGAGCTTTTCTTTGGTCCAGGCGTCTATTCGTATGGCCCCAACATCGTTGCAGTGGTCGATCGCTACATTTCTATGATCATAAATTGCCGTAGCGGCAGCTCAGAATTATATAAAGTTCAGCTCTTCTCGAGACGGGAACAGCAACGGGGCAGGTGAGCCGGCTGCGGCGGCAACGTTCCGTGCCCTCACGGAGCCACGAACGGATTCAATGCGCGGACAATTGCCCAGCTGCAAAACTGCCGACGGAGAGCACCAATGTACTTCTGGCACACCATCCTTCCTGGCCCAATAACAAAAGCTAAAGCCATGATCTTGACGGTGCAGAAAAGGTTCGTGTGCCTGTCACCACAGTACTAGAACGCACGACGTAGAGCGTCGTATGAACGAAGCAAAATGATAAGAGGATTCTAGAACAAATCTGCTCAGAGGAGAGCGTTTCTCTGATAGAGTTCAAACGAGCGGCAAAAACATTTAAACAGAAGTTATTGCAACGCACGTTGCAGTCACCATCCTTTTAGTTCAACACATAAGCCGAAGAGGAGATCTGTGATACACTTTTGTAAGTAAGAGAACCGAAACGCTTTTTAACTCACTGGACTCGAATCAATAGCGAATATTTTCAATGACTGAGCCATCACGCTAGTTCCACTTCGGATATCCGAGCGTCAAGAGTCTTTTTCCACAATCGACCGTACGTAAAATAGTGCTAAACTTCGGTGGACGAACGCGGCTGCCCAACAATAACAGACGAGAAAAGGAAGCGACTGGCAAGAAGGACGACGGCCGATGAGATTGAGCAAGCCAAGAATAGGCACGATATCTTTATGACAAACCGTGAGTGCCCAGTCCAAGAAACAAGGACAATAGATCATCGCGCTATGGAATGGTATATATTCGATCACGAGATATCTGCTTTTGTTGACTTTTATTAGACACCTCGCTGTCAATAAAGGCAAGAGTGGTACAAATCTAGCAGCGCTTCCTCTGCACAACTAATACAAAGCCAAGTGTTTTGTGAAAGAAAATACCTCAGAGAGGACTGGATGGTTCAGAACGGCCCTGAACGGTTTATCTTGTCTTGATTCTAACTTGTACTACTGCTACCGGTGATTATCATAATAATGGCGAAAGCATACGTTAAACCGTGCACGTTATTGGTTAAAAAGAATACAATAGGGAAACACAGCTAAAAACCCATACCATGTACTATTACATGTGTTGATATTCGCGTGCACTGTGGACTCCAGCAATCGTTATTGTTTCTAGAACTAAGTTATCTAGGCCCACTTCTACTATGTATATTGCTTGAAATGTGTTAAGCAGACTTGCATCGTCATGAGCCGCCACTTTCTTATCTATTGAAATGGTTAAGCCTCGAGAGTGACGTACAACAGGTCCAATAACGACAGGCCACTAATAGTGAATAATAAATTATGGAAGCTAGTGCTATTTTGCTTTTCAGAACTTCATTTTTTAGACTACTGGAATATCGATTGATAGGTGTAATTAAGGTCGGTTTCCAGATGGCACTGTCTTACCTGGTCGCCTGTGTTCCTCATGTACATCTGTCTCTTCGTCTGAAGGCCCTCAAAGAAACGCTGACCTAACGGGCTGGCCTGAAGAGCAGCCTCAGCGGAGCTTCGTAGATCGTCATTGTTCTTGATAAGGTGGTTCTCAAGTAGGATTGCCAAACACTGGACAGCGACGACCTGGTGCCTGAGAGAACTAAGAATCAGCGGTTCCAACGCCCAGGAGCAGCTAAACGTATCGCTGAGGAAGGTCTTACGCAGACAGTTACACTTGAGTAGAGCATGACACTGAAAATTGAAAACAGCAAAAAAGAAGCAGTCAATAAGGCCAGGATATAACAAATTAACAGGTTGCCAAAGGTCACGTCCTAGTTTATACCGCGTTCTGCATTCACTAGCACGATATGAGCAAGCTGATCATGGACGGACTAATCTGTTAACTAGGAAATAGACGTTGTTAGAATCGCGTCCTTAATTGACACCTATCAACATCGTGGGATCATTAACAGTACACTGATCAGTTACAAATCACACAGAAGCAGCAGTGACAAGACTTAATGAACGCAACCATAATAGAACCTCATCGAGATATTTACTTACCATAAGACTATACATCTCACTATCGTGGCTAGTGGCAAAGATTTGAAGCCATCCGTTTTTGTTCTGACGCACTCCAACGAGGCATTGATGCACCTCGCAGCGAGGATCCTTCGCCAGTTGTCGAACCACTGGCTCAAGCCGAGTGGCGAAGTGCACCTGTGCATCGCTTTCGATGAAGCGGCTCGGAAATGGTATCGGCTGAAGGATCTGTGACAAAGGTAGACGCCAGTCCTCAAATTCGGCAAGCGTAGTCAGGATACGCACAAAACAGAGTACGTCTGGATCATTGCAGGTCAAGTCTTCCGCTTTGAGATCTTTGCTGTAAGAGCATACGAAAACAAATAGGAGAATATCCGCAAATAGAAACAACGACGGTAACAGGAGTAATATAGTAAAATAGAGCAGACTCGTCAATTCGATGATCCTTAGAATAGGAATCCGCACAACAGACGATTATCGCATAGCTTTTGACATTGTCGTTGTCCACAGATATACTGGATAAAAGCTACTCGCATGAGAAAAACTCCTGTGACCAGTGGATTATGGGTCATACTTACTTTTGACTAAACGCTCGGTAGATGGCCGAAAGGCAAACAGCCACAAGGTTAGGTAAAATTCGGGGGTGAGGACACACGCTGGAATCGCCATGCATCTGTCGTGTAAATGCCTCGACCGTACATCCGCCACGCGGGGGCGACGACACCTTCAATGATGACGGGATAGGCAGCGCTGGTTCGGGTTCATCCGAACGAAATACCTCGTCCTCGAGAGCAGCTGGCACCTCTAGCCGTTGTTGACATCCAATAGTAAACGGCTGTTGTGGATTTCTCGCGCATAAGCCCTCTGAAGTGTCTGTATCAGATACGACTTGCACGTTGATGATGCTGCCCGTTGAGCTGACCGCGATCACGCGATCCTGGCAGCTATCATTACGGTCGTTGTTTGTCATTGGACTATCAGTTCCGCGGAAAACTTCACTGCTTCCATTACTAGGCGAAGGTGTTTCTGTGGCATTGTCACCGATTTGGTTAGATTCGGACGAGGGTGCCGACGCAGCGCTACTTGCATGATATACGCTTAGCGAACTTGTCACTTGGTACCCCTGTTCGGCACCACACTGCTCCTGTATCGTCGGTGGGCGATAACAAGTTATGACCGACAAAGAGCTGCCCGTTTTGTGGCCACGGGCGCTGGCGCATTGGTGACCTTTGAAACCATTGAAATCTAAACATCGTTCTGCAGATCTGCTGCGGGCCCGTTTCCTAGGACTCTGGCCAGGAACGCGTCGCGAGTGCTTGTCCAGCCGCGATAGCGCTTTCAGGTAACTTTCGACGAGACGTCGCGACCCGGGGTACTTGCCAAAGTCGGTGTTGCGCTTAATAATACGCTCTATGACAGGCGCCAACTGGCCGGTGACCAGCGGCAAGTCGTTGTCGCAGAGCTGCGAACGAATCAACGAATAAATAAGCGAAGGCAGAATGCGAGCATTAGCGAAATTAGTTAAGACGAAGATAGAGGCCGTCGTGGAAATACAAACGAAAGAAAGCCGCAAAGGTAAGGAGAAGAGGGGGTCTAGCAGAGTCGAGGAAACTATTACTCAAAAATATTGCAATGAGTTACTCATAAATGAGAAGACAGCCCAATAAGATGGAAGGAGGCTGACAAATCATTTGTGGCAAACCCGCAAATACATACAGGCTCCAACTACAGCCCGTATTAAGAAAGTTAGTGACAAAGCGGGTCATATGTAGTAGACACAATTTGTGTCATTCACTAAACGCCAACCTCTTATAGCCTTTGCTATGTCTATATACCGATACTGCTTTAGCTAACCTACTGAAATTATATGAAACTTATTTTTTTACAAGTTTAGTATCTGTACGTCGTTAAACGGTTACTATCCATGCTCAGTCATAGCCTTAAACACAAAATTATCAATTCAAATCCTTTGCCATGACAAGCGGACTAATAACAATAAATTACCCTACCTTGCACAGATACTCGCATATTGGTTGCGTCGGTGTGCATCGCTCTAACAGCGGCGTCATGACCGCGATCACCTGGTTGCCATAGCAACCGCCGAGATCGTCGGAATTGGCGTTATCGATGTTGTGAAGATAACCGCACAGAATATCCAACGTGGTTTGGTATATACTCGTATCTTGTAAAGGCGTACTTAACGACAAGTCGACCATCGCCTGCAATAAACGAAAAGTTATTGATGAGGTGTTGTTTCCCAAATGTTTTCCAAATGTTCCTACCCCTGCTTCTGTCCAGTAAAGTTAAAGACATGACCTATCTCAATTCCCTCCAAAGATCCCCTTAAGTCGGGTTCGTCCGAATCGTTTTCGGCGTCTGTGTCCTTCTTTGCAGCTTTTCAGTCCGACGGTTGTCGGGAACGCAGAGGTGTTAAGCAAGGCCCTGACACCCGAAAAAACTAAGGACTGGAAAGCAAGATAATAGAGTGGAAGGTGCGTGCAACGCGAACAAAACGCGAAGGGGGCTTGGAGACTGTTTGATGTACGGAACTGCCAGAGAGGCGGCCGTAACGGCTTTCTTCAGGGCTTCCAGAACCAGAAAAGTCGTTCAAAGCGTACGGTCCTACTGACAACGATACGGGTCAAAACAATGTTCCCGTTCACAGAACGACTCTCTACCTGGTTCTCATGAAAACAGGATAACGAGGCTGCTCGTGTGATATGCTAACGAAAAAGCCAGAAGACGAACTAAGTAGAGAGAGAGTGGAGAGCGATGTAAAACAGCAGAATTTGCACCCTTGCTAGTAAATACTCTTTGCGGGACCATCACAGATACAAATTAAGATCAAGTCTAGCCTAACATAACTTAGAGTAGCACAAATTCAAAATCGGTGGTATTTTCGCCCAAAGCATTGCCGCTATTTTTACGACCCGTCTTCAGTACATAAACAAAGACGGAGCCTACTACCAGAGAGACGGTCAGATAGAATCGAATATCAGAGGATATGGAACGCACACTCGGATTTTCTTGACGTCAAATGCTTCATCAACCAGGTCTGTAGATACATAGATACCGTAATGTGTCTTAGGCAAAACTGTACTGAGGCTGGATCTATGAGAGCCCTGTGCAGCAGCGAAGAAAGTGATGAGAACCATGAAGTTGTTAGAGACTGGTGGTCCTATTAATGGCGAACAGAATGAACTACCGGCTAGAAGCGACTGACGGACAGACGACTCGGTGTTGCATAATCAAGGATTCGGAACAAAAGCAGCTATCACCGTAGCAATTGACTTAGCCAGTTAATTAAGAATTGACTGACTGATCCGCATGAAGGCAATCAGAGAAACGGAGCAAAAAATCCTGGAACCGTTTTTTGTTATTTACACTTATTTTTGTTATTACGAACGATATTTACAATCATTGGGTACTGCACGCTACAGGGATTAACGAAACGCTGGGTCTTGGAGTAAGAGCAGTACATGCACACATGCAGACGCAGAAGCTGACAAATGGGAAGTTTCTACCAACTGTATGGGCAGCAAAGGCCCGTAGGTGGTTTTAATAACCTACAACTAACCTAAGCTTCGATTTGATGAGAAAGAGAAAAAACCAGGTAGACGGCTACGGGGTTAGCGTATTCGAAAGCGCCGCCAGTTATAACGAGGATTGACTGAATAAGGGGAGATCACTGTCCGCCAAAACCAGTGCCCAACTCTATGATCAGTTGAGTTTTTACTCCCCTTTCGATGCGCAACCTGAAGGCGAGGTCTTCGGAGATTGATCTGAGAATCTGGTCAGACGTTTCGCTCGACTTTCTGAGCAAAGGCAACCTGTCGCATCAAACAGGTACGAATAAAGTTGCGTGGAGATCGCATTGACCACACTCATGGAAGCTGGTCGGCTAACAAAGATTGAACCAGACTTATTTTTTTAGATGTCATAGAAGAGCTTAAACTGGACAAAAAAAACAGAAAATTTGAATATTTGTCATTGAAATTTTGTCACATAAAAAAAATGTTTGTGTTAGTAACAGTCACGATAATGGCCTGTTCGGCAAAAAAATACGATTTTGAGTGCTACATTTTCCCGAGAAAAACGTAAATAGCTAATAAAGCTGGCTGGAGCAGATATCTATGATGGACTACTAGTAATAAATAACCTGATATTTATTTACTGTTCCCACATTACTCCGGTTCAGTATAGAACTAATGAGTTTACTCGGTCCATGATAATAGATGGTGGACCTGTTTATATAAAATTTTTTTTAATTAGTTGAATTTGGAGTTCAGATTTCCTTCTCAGCAAGAAAGTGACCCTATATGTGATCTATATAAATCTATATAGCGATATAATTTACAAGTGGATTGACCTACAATCGTTTCTGGAGGTTCGATTCGCCGGTGGAAAGCCAAAGTGGGGCAGTCGATCGATGATTCATCACACAAGAAGCGGATAGCACAGGAATAAGGTAAGTAGAGATGAACCCGATTAAGATGGCTAAAAAAACTGATTGTTCGAGTAAAATTATCAATAAAGCTCAAAGTTGATTGCACATTCTTACTATTGCAAAAACCCGTGGGCAAAGGTTGTGACTCCCTCTAACAATGACTGTTCCATATAACATAGGGTGTCCCTGTGCAGCTGCTCGTTTCCGGAAAGTGCGACTAGTTTAACTTCGAATTTTTTCGCCCCAGGACATCTAAAAATTGGACCGGTTGCCGCTGCCGACACACAAAACACCCTGAACAACGACAAAAAGTTATCCTAGCAACGTTTGCGTATCGAGTGTAGAAAAAAGACCACTACGTCGACTGATGTGAGAAGTTGGACAATCAAACGAATCGGGCGAAAATCAGTTGCGACCCACGCACGCGGTCCGGTCTAGCTCGCTGTAGTCACTGATATTAAGCCGTACTTACTAGCCGTATGTATAAGTCGGACATATTTGGGCTTCAACGAACGCTCCAAACCGAAAACTTTAGCCCAAAAAAAGCTCGAAGTAGTAACGCTCCACGCTAAGCCCTACTCCATATTCGACATATATGTTATTTAAACTGCCATGGCTTTACCGTTTTTTCTATGTTCCACCACCAAAGAGAGAAGCTGGTTCTTTTGAAAGATCCGTTTGGGTCGGGTGAGGTGATATCATGTTGATGGCATGATGTCTTAGCGGTCTATTCTAGTGGTATTCTAATTAAGCCAGTGTCATCAGCCCGCTAACCAGAGCGTATTGTGTGATCTCAGGGGAGTTAGAACGTCTTGCCCTCATTTGTTACGTAATAGACTTAATAACTCAAGAGAGAGTAAGTAAAGTAAATAAAAGTATGCGACGTTAGAAATGCGGCAGAATTCGCTATCCGGTCCAAGCTCGTTGCGGTTTACTATCTCCAGTCAGATGTGCTCAGAAGCTAGTGACTCGGCAAGTGTTGATGGACGTCTAAGCCTCACGATGAGGGAGGCAATGCGCATGCATAACAGGCATACTAGATTAAAAAAAGCAGCGCATTTATTATCAGACAGGAGAAAGTCAGGCATGTTCATCGAAGTCAAGCTTTAAAGCCCAAGATTAATTGAAGCAAACAAGATAGTACTGTTCATTGCACAAGCTCGGTGCACGTCAGTCTTTACAGATAGAATTTTATAAGACTGTTTAACGTTGTTTTGCAAGGTACTACTTAGCTGCTTTGTTGTCTTTCTCGTTTTTGCAATTCGCTTCGTCTGCCAAAATAAATAGGACGCAGCAGACGTAGGAAAAACCCTTATGGCAACCACTCAGCCTATTTCCCTCCTTTTCAGACCTTAGAACCCCCTAGCTTGCTCCTGTGTCCTTCCAGTTCTTTGTCCCATAGGAAGCCATTCAGCACTTGACTAAGTTAGGCCAAGCTAACCCAGCCCGCTGTTTAAGTCTAAAGGCGAAAGGAAACAGGAAGTCCTAGCCCAGCGCTACCAATTTTGGCGATCTCAGCGTGACTTGTAATCTAATGAAGCTAAAGTGTCACCTCATACCCGCCCCCAAGCTTCTATCTGTGCTTCAGTCCTTAAGTCAGAATAATTTCTTCGTTTCGCAAGGTGGTTTCGTCCAAGTATCTACTATTCCAACCAGCATTGACTTTAGACGCTGAGCATTGGCCTTTTGCCCACAAACTGCTCCAGTGCTTAGGAGAAGAAGAAAGGGAAGCAGGGTAAGCGATCGTCTTTGTTACGTTCTAACGCTTTCGGAGACAAAAATGCAGAGCCACAGCAAGCTTACTGACCATTCAATCTTTGCTAGCTTCGCGGTATACAAAGGCAAGAATATGTGAGCTGGAAATAATACCAGTTAGCCAAAAGCGGACGGTTATGCACGTGACCCAGGTGGCTTCTGGGGGGGGGGGGGTAAGGAACACCAGCGGCAAAAACAACAACTATCGGGCACTGGTCACTGATTATGCCAATATTGAGCTGGTAAAGCAGCTGACTGTTCGCATGAAAATTAAAACAGGCCATTCAATAGGAAACAACCCCAAAAGGTGCGTTCCATATAAAGAGAAATCTACGAAATAATGAGTCAATTATACATATGTTGTAATATAGAACAAACTCATGCACGTAGCGAAAAACACCACCAAACGTGACAGCTCTAGCGCACTGATATAATAACGATATATGACTGTGCAAAAACTTAAGATACTTTTTACTTTCGCTTTTTTTTTTTCATACAACGTGACAAAACGAACGGTGCGCGTGACCTCTGCATCCTCAACTCTGCTGCATTGCTAGCTACTTTATCGTGCGTTTTTGTTAGTTTTCAATGAGCTCTCAAACCGACAGATTTTACCTGGTGTTCCCGACGTATACACGTGCATCGTCGAAGATCACTCCATAGATACGTCTCAATGGTTGTTACAAAGCGAAGATGGCTAGCAGGAGACGAAAGTTGGTCACATCCCTGCCGATGCAACCTATATTGGTTGATATAAGGAGGGTTCAGTGCAACTGGAGCAGTAAGTACTTTATTTTGCCACCAATGCCCTCGCTTTTTTTTTACTTTTCACATTTCTTATGATGGAGAGTACCACACAAAAAGATCTGCGACCCCAGGTCTACTATCCCCAATATCTGAAAACGTTTAGGTCTATGGAAGGAAAAATAATCTTCTGAATTTGCACCTATTCTGGCCTCTGAAGCTGATGCACCTAACGTGGAATAAACGCTACAGTCTCCTGGGCTAAATTGCCATCGTTATGAAGCAAGTTGCCTTCGGCTGCTCTTCAAGTAACTATTGCAGCCTTTCCATTAACCTCCTAGTTGAAGGCGACTGACTTGACTCTTTCCATGGCGCTAAACCCAGGCACTTCCACAGAAGGGACAAAGATGTCAGAGCTTATAGCAGAGGCTATTGTAGAAAGGCAAAGAGTGTACACAGAAAAGTGTTTTTGCAGAAACTAAGAAAAGGCGAGACCCAAGTTGGCCGAATACATCTACTCGTACATATTCTATCAAAAAAGTAAATAGCTTGCCCTTCCAATGTCACCGTGCTATTAGTCAGCCGACTAAAATCTGGGGAGATCTGTCTATGCAGAAAAGTATAGACCTAAAGGGCAAACGTCATCAGCGCAATCAGTGTTCTCGTTGCCGCACCACTGGCATCGTAAACTGCTCACTAACTGCTAACCGAGCCGTTACTTTCTGAAGGAAGCCTCTCTATTTCTCAGCTGTTCCCTCACCTTATGTGAAGCCGTCAGGGTTTTTAGCGTTAATACAAGTCATTTTTTCTGTTTTTATTAATGTTCGTTTGGTAGAGACAGTGGTAACGGCTTCGTCTTCCGATGGCCTGACATTCGACTTCATTAAAGACTGTTCAACAACCTGCCCTAACCGCAGGTTTACTGATATCAGCGATTTCCCACTGACACCTTCCAAGTTCTTTCTTTGTCTTTGCCCAGGTCTCCTCGTCCTTCGGCTAGCTTTCAGTTCTTAACAACGAAAACTTAAATTCAGCTGACGTTGTCACTTATTATTACCATTATTATCGCTAACTAAATCAAGGTAAGCAAACGCTGCAAGGGGCAATGTAGACGACGAAGAACTTCGAGACGTACCATAAGATGGCATGTCCTACCGCTTTGTTTATGTATTTGCTTATTATGTGCTTATTATGTGTTTACTGTTTATGTATTTGCGATAAATAGAAGGCGCTTCATTGAGCAGCAGATTCGCACTCTTTTCAGTGTCTAAGAGCCCCGGGCTCTTAGACTTTGACGTTGCAAATCAACGATGCCAATATTAGTAGATATCGCAGGAATCGACAGAACCCAAAAGCGACTTCAAGGCCCCTTTTTTGCCTACCACTGTGGTGGCGAATTACGACGTTTATCTATCGTTAATTACTTTGTGTATAGAACTGTATGTAGCTAAGACAATGCTTGCATCCAGTTATTCGACCTGGTCACCGCAGAATAAACAAGCGATACAACCTGGAGCAAATAGGTACAAATATGTCTAAGCAAAAACAAAAATCCGATCAATCGTACCTCATCAGGCCAACTGACACAACATCGAAATCAAAGCAAAAACCTAATACTAATTTCAAATTTTTTATACTAATTCGGTTTGTTTGAATTATATTCAGCAGACTGCCGCTGTCAGCTAGTTGACCTTCCCATGGCGAAAGTTTGCCGTGAATACAAAACGACAAAGGGATCAAAGCAGACGTGCAAAAGTGTTGTGACGCTTCGAAATACACAGCAAATGGACCAGCACCGAATAAGGCGTTTGGCTATAATGGCATTGCTGCCGTGTCGGACAATGACCGATCGGCTGATAACTTTAGGCCCCGTATTCATGCGTAAAGTTCCAGAGAAACAGTAGGAGTGGCTGTCCAACATGATTCGTTTACTAAGGTTCCCGTCAAAATAGATCGCCCAATGGACGTTGCATCTACCGGAAACGTCAGTCATCCTCGGCGCGTGACGTGTAAGAGCGTACCGTTTCGAAACCATCACAGTAACGTGTTTGGCATCAGTCTGCAATATGCCTTGAGGGCTCGTGATCACGTTATTGTCCAACGAACCGGACGGCCATTACCAGACCAATGTCTTCGCCAATTGAGTTTATCATTGATTGACTAGCTGGAAAATTCAATTTTGGTTAAACGGTGGCGCCAGCGAAATAAATACCGGAGACCTCTTGATGAAGAACCTCGTCGACCGCTACTGCTTTAGATGGCTTGCAGCCGACCTGTCGGCTCAATATAAGCCATGTGTCTTCTCCGGATTTTGTTCATACACCGTATGTCTATGTGTTTAGTAAGCAAACGGATTATCAGTGTGCTTATTACTATGGGGACACTGAAAAACAATACTCTGGTAACTGCTAAAAGTGATTCTCCTTTAATGAGTAGAACAAACTCATCGACTGAATACGACGTAACGCGAGTCGCTTAACAAATGAGCCGACACAGCCTGACATCGTATACGTGTAACTGTACAGGCAAACATTGTACTATATAGTACATGCAAGATAAATCTCAGCATAAATAGACTACACCCATACTTGTGCGCGAAGTAAATTTTTGTCTTGATTGGATTAACTAGTCCTAGTTAGCATCTAGTTATAGCCGGCCCAATTGGAACGAATGCCATTCGTACAGAGGAGCAGCCGAAATGGACATGCGTCAAAAGTAAAAAATCTCTTTCCGCATCGAACAGTCTGATCAACAATAGCGGAGCAGAGTTCAGCAGTTCCCTGCCGTTTAGCCAGACCCGCAGGTCTGAATGGCGGCGTATAGGACAGAATCAGGACGATGACACACTACATACCTAACAGCCATGCCGAAAGAGCTTCCGATGAGTCATTAGCGCGACCTATACTGTCGTTGGTGTATCGCGAAAATCATAGAAAGCAAGTAAAAGATGAAAATTCAATTGTCAGGGGGAATCGTGCGTGCACAGCCGAGATATTAAACACTTACGGGTCTTATTTTTTGATTAATTTTTTAAATCTTGATTATTTTTATTAATACAAGGCCGCATGGCACCCAATATTCGGCAACGATTTTTGTATTTTTAGAAATATCCTAATCGTTTTTTGGGAAACTATCAAAAGAGTTCGAGCACACACATTTACGTGACCTGAACTCGACGTAGCTGGTCACGTCCGAGCTCACTTATATCTAACCAATGCAAAGATAGTAAGTCAAAATTTAATCATAATCGTCAGCTGATCGAAACTTTCAGCGATCAGTAGCAGTCTTAAATAAGGGTTAGTCCCGCTATCGTCTGCAATATCGCACAAAAAACCATTGCTCCGAAAAACTTCACATATTCCGTAAAAGGCCATCTTTGGCGAGCTGCATAAACAAGGAAACAATAACGTACAGTTTCCTATAATTGGAAATAAACTGTATCTAGTAGTAGTTTCTTGCGGTACAAACGCTAGACCCTTGTGAAGCTTACATCGACTAGAGCGTACCGGTATGGTTTATGCCTGACCCACATCCGAAATATGTGGTCAAGGGAATGACTTGTCGTAATAGCTTTGCTATGCAACAACAGAACTAGATTGCAGCACAAGCAGCTTTACTAAGCACTCGGGTTTCGCTCACTAATTTTAGCTGGCTACTGGTACCGGAGAAAAACAACGACTTTATGGTTTGACTAAAAAGCATACCGATGATAAATATATGTAATCAGGCAATCAAGGAACTCAATTAAATTAAACGGATCGACATTAGAGGTAGAAATATTACTACTGCAACTTGGCCTGGTAGCATCAAGTTCAGTATTGACAAGTACCATTGAAATAATGAACAACATTATTCGATACCTTCATATTCCGTAGAATTACACCGAAATCCTGTTCTCGGTTATCTGTAGCATCGAGAGAGAATTTCGATACCTGTTTCGACCAAAGGATCGAATGCAGCCATTGGTCTCGAAGATAAGAACTCGGTGCCTGCAATGACGGTTACATACAAACGAAAGAAAAACAACACAGTCACTCGCACTATCTATTGCACAATACAATTAAATATATTTAACGGTTAGTCGTATCTATTATACGGGCCTTCTAGCAACCAACGCACGGATGCCGGGAAATTGGCCTCGGATAGAGACATTGGAAAACGGCACGGTACTTTAAGGAAACAAGCTATCGTAAATAATCGATAATTAGATTAAAGGTCATCAATTGATCATCAGTTGAACTGTTGAATGAGTGACAAAGTTCGCCGCCTTTGAGCACACCAGTTCCAGCGTTTTGCTATAACTACAGAGTTGGCATCAAAGTCTTGTCCATCAGATAAACTGCCATACTCTGACATAATCACTGCAAAGCCGACACCGAAAAACAAGATGGATGTTGTGTTAAACATTGGTAGAGCTAACCACCGATAGAGAAAACAACCAAGGAAACAATCGTTTGTTTTTTTTACTATTGGTACAGTTCTGGCGGAACGATATGGAACGCGGCAAACAAGAGTTGAATGTGTGCCCTGAAAGCCAGATACGGTTAGCTCGAGTTCGTTTCTCGACGCTGTCAGGTTTTGCTGTAACCGATATAGGTAAGTAGATGTAAGGGTTTCGGCTGACAAAAGTAGACTAAGGATGGTTCGACTGCGAGTGTGTTAAAGCTGTATAGAACTAGTTTATCGTGCTCCGTAGAAGGGGAACGTCGGGGAGAACTTCGGTTGGAAGCGGGGTAAATCTAGAAGTGGTCTGATAGGGACTGTTGTGATAATGCTTGCGATAGAGACGATTTTTTTGCTTTTGGTCGTGCCAAAACGTCTCCTTTATTTTTAAACGCCTCCTTTATCTTAAACGCCTCCTAGACGCAATTAGTAACTTCCTGTAGAACAAATTCTAGGATCCACATTCTGAGGGGCACGAAGGCAGGGCACTGCATTAGTTGATTCTGCGTGGGATTGCTGTGTCGTTATCTTTTTTAAAATCCTACTTGTGATCACAACCTTTGATTCAGCATGTATCACGCCAACCCTTATAATCTACCTACATACAAACAAGGATTTGCGCATACTTTATTTAGGCGAAAAGCGGCTCGAATAGAAGGCAAAAACGGAAGCAGGATTCTACGCACACAGACTGCTGTTGCAATTGCGCGTCTGGCTGTTGTTCCTAATCAACTTTTGTTTGCAGGGCCCTCAAGTGTGACAGGATTGTATGCAGTATTCGTAGTGAAAGATCCTGAAAGTGGGTGCCAACATGGTAGGGGGCATCGCTAGAGACCCGAATGAATAAATACAACCACGGTGTTTTGGGGCTCCGGGGGCGTCCAGAGAGGACGCCTCTAAGTGGGAGGGTGAATCGTACTAATGCTGTTTCATACTTTCGGGGTACAGGCGAGAAGTCGACGATCACGCTGAAATTCGAATGAACATAACCTAACATAGGACTCTACAAGGTAGGCGTACATACAAGTGTTAGGAACCGGAGTAGAGGACGGCAAATCAGAAATGTGAACACGAAGGCCGAATGTAGACAAGACATTCGCCATTATCTTAAAGACGCCAAAAAAACTGCAAGTATTTAAATAATTGGCGGTGAGGAAATGCGTGTTTTTTAACTCTTATTCCTTATTGACTAAACTTTTCAGTTTAAGCATTTCATATACTTTATTGTTATCTAGAAGAGAATACCTTTCACACGCGGTGAGCGTCAGGAATTTCATCAGAGAAAAATGTCTGATTATCAGAACAAGTTGAAAACAGCATCAGGGCTGCTCACAAAATTTGCTTTTTTGTTTAATAAACTCAGAGTCTAGACTTAGAAAGCAAAAGATCTTCGATTTTCGATCAATGCTGCAGAAAACTGTAAGCATTGGAAGAGCATACTTGGAACGTTTGCTGAGGACCACACAATTCCATCAGGAAAAGAAAACGAAACATGAAAAAATCAAATTACTCGATTCTTGGAAATCAACCAGGACCTCCATAAGAAACCATAATTTGGGCCTGATTCCATCCAGTTCATAAGTTGGCTGCACTAAAATATATATAAGGTGAGCCGACGGTCTCTTGACAGCTTGAAGGTATTTTTTTACAATTGTAAAGTACATATCTGTCGAGTTATCTATTCGCAAAAGCAAAGTGCGTGCGCTCAAACGTAAATCGCAAATACCAATTTTGTTTTCAACGTAATTGCCCGCCAATCTGAGCCACTTGATCGGGCCAAACTTACCTGAAACAAGGCTGAGGTTCCATCTGTCAATGATATCCGTAAGCAAAATTTGTGGTGGGGATCCCATCGTTTTGTTGCGTAGACTTCGCTAATGCTGTCATACGGGATCGCCTCCGACATGAAGCCAGTACTCTAAAAAACGGGCAAAACAAATTACGTACATACGATAAGAAACTTTCCTCTCTGATAATAAAAAAGACGGGTAAAAGCAGTAAAAAGAGAGGTAACAAAGCTGAGCACCGAATCCTGAGCTGTGCGTTCGGGGCCACGAAAGACTGCATAGTAAGCACTTATTAATTCCTTTGAGCTTTTACTGTTCTTGGAGTAATGTCAGTGTCATAAATGAATTTGTTTGGGAAACTCGTTTATAACGCTGTAATACTTTTCACATGTTTGTAAAGAGCGACATTGAAATTTATCTATAATAGATCTATTATAAAAGGTGTACGCTTTCGAAAATTTGCCAGAACGCTACTTTCAACTGCGTAATCATAGGCTACGAAAGCATTACCATCCATAGAAGTGGATATTATTTCATGTTAGATGTCGAAACACACGCTTAGTTATTATTATAAGCACTCTCACTTATAAGTAACTGTACCTGTGCAAAAAACAAACCCTTTTTGTCTGTTAGTTTTTGCTCCTAGAGCATATAAGAATCTTTTTTTTAGTTTCTTTTTTTCTTAAACTAGAAAAGGTTAGATTTAAAAGGTCCTAACGTTAGTAGTTGTTTCTTCCAACTTTGCCTATTATGGTTTTCTTATTTCGAGAGTCCATGGCGTCCTTCTCAGATTGGCAAAAGCTGCACCCCATTCTCTACAGAAAGCGGTCTTCTATGGGCTTCTGACCCAGCTCATGTGATCGCCCGCATAATGATTACCCAGTGCTCTCAATATGTGGTAAGCCTTTCAAGTCAGTCGTAAATATTGCCGCTTGTGTGAATGCCGAAGGCTTTAATACAATTCATGCCCTTAATGACGGAAGTATTGACGAACATCTACGCAGAACAAACTAAACACGTTTAGCTTAACGAGCTGTTACAGATCTCCAGTATGAACCATTGGCCTATTTAAGGCTATCATCAATTTTGACAATACGACAAATACCTTAACTACACACGTGATAATGTCACTTACGGCAGCTTGATTACTTCTATGTGCCCCCTACATCTGTGTCGGGCAAACCTTCATCGTTAACTGGCGTTAATATACGAAATGCATTGATTTATCATGGACATCGGTGTTAGCCACACTCGTTTCTGTTGCCTTCTATCTGTCCGTTTCACTAATGCTGTCTTGGAAATAACTGCTAATTCTATGTAACATGTGGTGGTCTAGGCTTAAATCAGGCCGTGGGCACAGTTCGTCTGGCGCTAAAAAGTAGCCTTGTGATGCAATGCCCGACAGCGGCACCGTGTATACAATGCGAAATGTTAGCATTGCTATTACTACTGCTGATCTGTACAAAACTACAGGAGATTTCTTGTACTAATCCTATTCCTGTGGTACGCAGTATGAGGCAAAAGTCTCTCGGTAGTTACGGAATTTTCATCTAGATTTACACTAAATCGAAATGCACTAAAGTGAAAACTCCCTTTTTCTCTCCCTAAGTGTATGGGCAAAAGGATTTTGTATCACTGTTGGCTGTCTGAGCGACCAGCTAGGCCGTCAGAACTGACTGTAAAGATCAGACAAGAAACCGTAAGTTACTTAGCCCATGTGCTTTCGTTATTATTGTTCGGACGACTTCAGATAGTAGAAGTATCTGTAAGAGATAGTTAGCAGTCAAACCCGCCCATCTCCGTCGGCCAAATGATTGGAACACGTGCCCAATTATAGAACTGCGCTGGGTATACAGCGATAGAATCTATCCTGTACGAAATCGAAACTGCGTTTATATAGTACCTATTGGACGAATAATATAGATATCAGCGTCCTGGCAAACAATTTTCTGTCTAGATACCGTACACTACATTCGACTGGTGAGTGCTTCTATAAAGCCTATTCGAACTCCTTTATACTTGCAGTATTTTTTCATTTCTAGCCTGTGTAGAAATATTCCTACAACAATGAAACTACACCCCTAAACTAAGTATACTAATAGACACCAATGAACAGCAACATATATTCAATGATGCCAATCCAAAGTAGAGACGTTCACGCTGCGACGCGGGGACGTCTCTACTTTTTCGTTATTTTCATTCATCACTTTAAGCTTCAAGCCTCAAAAAAATTTTTGAGGCTTGAAACGCAGCTGCTTTCATTTGTATTGGTTTCAATATTACATCGAGTTTCGTTCTAAATATCGCCTGATTATTTAATTAAAAATCAAGTTGATTTCGTTAGTTATCTTCATCTCTCACCATTGTCGCGTCATTAACTGTTCTGTCGTATTATGGCATGGTGACAACACAAAAAATCTGGGCGACAGACGGCTATTGCATATACGATTCCTGCTCGAGGTCTACTTATCGTCGTGTAGCTGGCCCACTACCACTAGTTTAAACCATTATTCCACAAATCTTTTCTTCTGTAAAGAAGTTAATATGTAGATTTTTCTCGTAAGTTTAGTTAAGATTGCTTAAGTAGATTATTCTAAAAATTCGTTAAGTTCCATAAACTCCTAATCTTTATAGAACTTCAGCAAAAAGTACGGCATTTGCGATAAGGACTTCTCGCATGAGCTTTTGAAAATCATAAATAAAATTACTATTCGGTAAAAATCGGCACTTGCTTTATTCTACACTATTTCGATTGCAGGGAGGATCCCGCAAGCATTATTCGATGATTTTATCTCATGTGACAAAGCCCCGACTTGAACCCTTGCGGCGGCTGGATTTTCGTTGGCTTACAGACGTAACACGAATCATACAATATTAACGGTATGCTTCACGTCCGTTTCCTGACTGTCCTAAGTTGTAAGCTACTCTGAGTTAATAAGCATGCGTCGACATGCGCACGCGCACGGGTTCTACGCTTCTACGAAAAAAATTCTACGCTGGCATTGCTTGGCCGGCTCCAATTTTGTGTGTGTGAGACGACAATTATCATTCTAGCTTCCGGCAGTCCTATTCCCAAACATTTTTGGCTAGTCAAGTGGTCGTCGGCCGCATTGCCTGCGTCACATGTCATGCTGCCCTTAAGTTACAAGACCGGAGCAAGGACAAATCCGGGCTAATGTAGAAGGCAGAAATTCGTGAAAATAATTCTAAATCACTGGTCGACATAATGTTGACTTCGTTTAGCCGTTTGTCAGATAAACTGCCACCGCTCCAGGCCAGTGTACTCGATATGGATAATACAACTGAGTTAAGAGTCAGGCTCTTTTTCATGGGGCAAACAACAGTAGGCCTCATACAGAGGTCTCATTTACCACTGCCAACGTAAATAACGAACGTAGAGGGTAACTAACTGTAACAACGGTGATTGTAAAATGAAGCCACCGTATCTCCCGCTTACAATGAGCAGGACTGGCAGTTGATCCTGGCCAAGTAGACTATGCAGATCAAAATGCAACTTTAACATTTAATAGTTAAAATAAAGTAGACAATCTCGGCTTTAGTTCTAACATTTGCTTGATTTATTTGAAGGAACGAGCGCAAAAGCCACGAAATAGTTATTCATCGAAACCAATCGACATAATGAGCTCTTATATGGTGCTTTCTAAATAGAAAATATACCATGCATTACGGCAGGATTATAGTACTATCTATCACAATCACAGATTAGCGATGGGACCACTGCTGAGCTTAGTGTTAGCTTCATCTCCGCTCCTCTTCGTCGACTCATAACACATGCCCATGTACATGTATATGCTCATAGCGACCCATTGCTTAATATATGTCTTTAGGCGTCCCGCCCATGGACCGCATGATTATGGTTTACAAAAAAAGCAATTAATCTGCCTTCCTCTGGAGTTTAAAGAGAAGGCACTGCCCTAGACGCACCATGCAAAGCTCAGCTGAGTGATCCCAACCTAGTAGAGCTCAAGAACAGCTTCGACACGGAAGATGCCCTAAAAAATACGTCAGACTCTAAGAACTGACCGTGACCCGAGAACATTTTCAGTCAGTCCAGCATCACTATCGGATACTGTCTGATTTGATGTACATCGATCTGGCCTAAGCCAAAGATAGGAGCAAAACGATTTCCCTGTGCCAGCAGTGTTCGGCCGCATCTAGCCAAGCTACCGACCACGTAAGAACTCAATGAGCTAGACGGTTAGTCAATCCTCCTACGGAGATGCTACCATGACAGAGGCAATCGAACCTCTTATCTGGAAAAAAACTACGAATCAAGTCAGTGTCCTTTTAGCTCTGTCCCTCATTCGTACGGCTGAGCATGTTTAGTCCTGCCAAATAGTAAGTATTGTACTAGAAAAAGTTCGTCCCTTAAGTGAGTGGCCGAATTAAAAAAAACAGATTGAGCATTTGCTGTTTTGTTAACCATTTGGTAGCAGAAAACCCGTGTTTTTCATCAATGTATAGTGAAATAAGCAACCTCAATAGCGAAGCAATAGATATCCATCTATCAAATGTGGACGACAATGATAAACAGATTCAGTTTCAATGTCTCTCGTTTTTTTCTGTTAATAACTATCTTATCGATCAACGCCTATCACTAATAGAACATTTATATTTTAAACATGTTGTGTCATGAATTTTGCTTAAATAGATTCGAAATGTATATAAAAAAACAGCCTTTTTCGGTCAGTGTGCTTTCCAAGGTCTAAGGCTCTGATAGCATTTGGTAAAGTTCAGGCGACCCTTCCAGATATCAGCATACAATTCGTATTGTGTTTTTCAATTTGTAGGAATGCGCCATGCAAAATCGGGGTACAGGTCAGTTGACAGTGTCAGCATTGGTAAATGTCACAGTAGGAGATCTGGTCAATTGGGTTATGTGTCTAGATTTCTAACAGGTCCTTTCTTCTTTTTTTTTTTGTTGCTTTTCATACACAATGGCCCTTCCGTATCGTGCAACAAACCCAGGCATCACCTAGGTGCACGGTTTTGCCTGTAAGTATTGGGTCAGCAATACACATGTACGTAACATGCGTTCAAAGACCGCACGAATTTTATCTTGAAACAAATACGAGTGTAAACATATATGAAATTACAAAATGGCGCAAAA